TCCACATACTGCTGGAGCCTAGTTTGTAGGATTTTGAACATCACTTTGCTAGCATGTGAAATGAGTGCAATGGTGTGGTAGTTTGAACATTCTTTGGCATTGCCCTTCTTTGGGATCGGAATGTAAACTGACTTTTTCCAATTCTGTGGCCACTGTTGAGTTTTCCAAATTTGCTGGCATATTGAGTATAGCACTTTTACTGCATCATCTTTTAGGATTTTGAATAGCTCAGCTGGAATGATAAGGACATCATTTTTTGGTGTTATTTCTAGAAGGTGTTGCAGGCCTTCATAGAACTGGTCAACTTCAGCCTCTTCAGCACCAGTGGTTGGGGCATAAACTTGGACTACTGTGATGTTGAATGGTTTGCCTTGGATTCGGACTGAGATCATTCTGTCATTTTGGAGATTGTATCCCAGTACTGCTTTTCCTATTCTTTTATTGACTATGAAGGCTACTCCATTTCTTCTGAGGGATTCTTGCCCACAGTAGTATACTTGATGGTCTTCCAAATTAAATTCACCAATTCCTGTCCATTTTACTTCACTGATTCCTAATATGTTGATGTTCAGTCTTGTCATCTCTTGTTTGACCATGTCCAGCTTGCCTTGATTCAGGTTCCTATGGAGTATAGATCTTTACAGCATCAGACTCTCCTTTCACCACCAGATACATTGGCAACTGTGTCCTTTCGGCTTTGACCCAGTCGCTTCATTCTTTCTGGCACTACTAGTACTAGCCCTCTGCTCTTCCCCTGTAGCATATTGGACACCTTCTGACCTGAGGGGCTCATCTTCCGGTGTCATATCTCTGGAAAGAATACGTACATTTACATTATTATATTATTGCTTGACTAACTTTACACATGTCAATAACGTTATTGCTAGAGTGAAATTTATTAAATGCTAAGGTCTTTTAACTTGAATTGTCTTAGCTCTGTATACTGTAAATATAATGGTAGCAAACTTAATTCATGAGTGGCATTCCCTGAAAGGCAATCAAACAATCATATAGGTTTGGGGTATGTTATGGGGAAAATATTTGAAGAAAATTAAAAGCTGGAACCTGCTGACTGTTTCGAGATAATTCTTCATTCTAATGTTTTTTACAAATGGAAGAGGTTACATTCTTCAAAGTAGATCTACTATATTCAATGGGTTAGTATATAGTGATATACAGTATTTTAAAAGATCTACATGTGTCTCTTTTTTACAAGGATATGCTATGTCATACAATAAAGTTGACTTTTGGCATTTATGTTCTGCATAATGGCTTACACCTGCCAGACAACTGTGGAAAACTAACAAGGCAAAGCTTGAGTTAGATTCAAGCAAGTCCCTTGTTTTTGTAGAAAGCATCTTGAGATGCATACCCAAGAACGCCATTTTCATCGTCACTGTGGATCCCTGCTGTTTTAAAAAGTCACGGCAAGCATTGTTCTTGAAATAAATACAATCTTAATATGCAGTCTTCTGTGTTGTTTAACTGATGGTTGAGACTTCTGATTGTATATCAGGATCAATTGATGAAAATTAAAATGCAAGAAAGAATTTATCTGGTCTTGCACTCCAGGCTGTTTACTCATTTCCAGTATAAATGGAACATTAATCTCTTGATCTTGTGTCTTCAGTACTTGCAATCTCCATAGACAGCAATTATTAAAATATTCTGAGTTGCTGTGGAAAGCCTCTGTGACATTTGTCTGTGACTATAGATTAGTGTCAGAACTCATCTTTCAGCAGTGCCAGGATTATAAATCTAATTTGGCCACGTAATCAAGAAAGTTTGGTATGTATTGCTGTTCAGTCTAGAGAATTTATTGTGAGGAAAAGAAAAGCAACCAGCACTGCCTGGGCTGGACATTTGGCAAGGTCTTCTTTGTAAAATTACTGCTGCCATTGCTTTGGGTCACCAATGCATTCTCTCCACTCCGTCTATGTTTATCTAAAGCTGGACCTGGCAACCACCTGGGCTGGAAGCCACTTGAGAACCCCCATGTATTACCCCTGAACTCATAGGAAGGAAGTATAAGATGCATATGTAGCAAATCACATGTAACCCTATTGTAAAATATCTTGGTTGCGGCATGAGTAAGATACGTGGCCATTCCTCCTACACGTGTTTCCAAAGAAGTTCTACCAGGTTATGGTAGGCTGGTCAATCCTTTACAGTGTGATGCTGTTAAAACTGGCACTGAATTCCCCTACTAGTGTGCGAGACGAAGCCCATGTTTGCAGGACTACTATCACTTAGTAAAGAAGAAGGACAGATGACGATTTTAGACTACTCCCATCTATCACATACCACTCTTAAGTACTATTCTAAAGGCCCATTGCTCAGTGAGAGGGCATATGCGCTGCATGTATAGGGTTGCATGCTGATTTTTTTGTATTTCTGATAAAATAGTATAAGGTAGCAAGGTAAGAAAGAGGTCTGCCAAAAAGTGTGGTGGCCCGCTGCCTGCCATAGACCAGCCATCCCAACCTGGTGCCATCCAGTTCCAGTGGCTCATTTTAACAATGTTGGCCAATGGTCGGAAATTAGGAGAGTTGGTAGTGCACAACATCTGGAGGGCACTACATTGGGAAGGGCTGGAGTGGGGAATGCTGCATTAGACCGACCATCTGATTTGGCGTGAGGCTGCTTTATAGTCCAAGAAATTCATCCCTAAGTGATGTTAGTATAAAACAGCAACAAAGATGGTTTCCTTCTAGGAGGGGACGCTTCCAGTTATCAGGCTAAGTAGACAGTGATAGTGATCAAAGATTTTCAATGAAAGCACCCAGGCCTTGGGACTATTTTGCTTTCCATAAATTTCATTTCAGGGGGTGTGGCCATGGCCTCAATGTAAGTTCTGGAATAGCAGTGGTAAGTCAATCAGCTGTACCTTTCACCAGCAGTAAAGAATTTCTTTAGTTTGAATTGCCAGGGCAAAGCTTGTTTACTTGCTGTGAATTCCTGCTTCAACAAAAGTGAATCTTTGTTGAAGCACTAGGCAGCTTTCTCCATGGAAACAGGACCAAATGCTTCTGGCATTATTTTGTGGATGTGTCCTGGAAGCACTGTAAGGGTTAACACTGTTGCTCAGTTAAGAAATAACATTTGGCAATAGGAGGAAACCCAAATGAATGATAGAAGAGCATTCTTGGCATTTTGTAGCAGTGGGCATTCAAGAGAAAACACAGCTAATGATCCACGATAAAGGTATTTGCAGCTGTGGACCTACCTCTCCCTAGTGCCAACATTAAACTGTTTTTTCAAGCAGCTTTCCAATTTATTCTTTTTTTAAATTCTTCTGGCCACAAAACCAGGACATATTTGAAATATATATTTAACAGACATGCCATTTAAAATTATGCATCTTGATATAATTATTTCTCTTTTTATTCTCTCTGTCAGACAAAATCCACCGAGCAAGCTTGTAACAAGATTTGCTCAGAAACATGCCACTGAAACTAAAATTATCGGTCACTGGATTACACACATGTGGCAATAGCAATGGCAGTCTTTTCAAAAATTTATTTATTTTTTTTTGTAAGAAATTTTATTAAGGTTTTAAAACTTAAAATTTATTTTAGAGTAATTTCAGTGGACTTCAGTGAGATTCTACAGCATTTGTAAGCTATAATTCCAAATTTGGAATTCTGCTGTGCCATAGTTAACTTTTAACTGAATAATCAGAAACATCTGAATAACACCAGTTTGCTCTAAACCATTGCTGAATCTCTTTTTTATAGGTTTCTGTTCAGCTCTACTAGTTTGTCTGTTTAGAAGTAATGCCCACTGAGTTCATTGGGGTTTCTCCTAGGAAATTGTGTATAAAATTTCAGAGTTAGTTTGTGTTTTCTTGTTAAAATCTGTTAGCTGCCTTTTTTGCTCACAGTAATATGCACAAATTCAAAGATGATTTGGTTTTATATTTGGGTTTTGAACATCTACATACAAATGCAATAATTTGAAAGGGGGGATTAAAAGCAGCAGCACAAGCACCTAAATGTCTTTGGATTTTTCTTTCAAGTCCTCATTATCTGGTAAAGAAGATACAGTGGCAAAACCTGAAGAGTTCCCATAAGGAGATTCACTTTACTTCACAGATAGCAGATCCAATATCAGAGCTTCTCCTAGATATCTCAAAGCCTGGGCAAACTTGCACAAAAGAAGTTTCTGTGCTAACTTTGGACCAAACTATTTAAGGCTTCCAAATTTATAATCAGTGCTTTTTAATTGATGGCAATGTTCTGCATGAGCTGAAGCTTTTGAAAAACATTCAAAGGCAATGAAGCACATTGTAATCACAATGCAATCTAGAGCCTACCAAAGTATGACAGAAAATGTTAAGATAAGTACAACTTACCATGGATAGTGTTACACTGAATTGAAACTTTAGCTTGTGTAGAACACCTTTTGATACATTTATTGTATGGTACTGCTGCTACTAAACTCATGCTGTATGGATTTAAGGCCCAGTATCTATCATCTTATATTTGGGAACCAAATTGCAGAAGATTCAGGACAGAATCACTCAGCGTTTTCCTTTTTAATGAAGCACGGCTGCAAGGAGACAGCCACTTTGATTGGAACAATAGTATTGTGGGCATCCCTCTTCTTCCTGTGCCATTTTCTCAATCAAATTAGCTCTTCCCCACCTTCCCAGCTGTTGTTTTGCTCTAAGGATGGAAAAATACATGCTCAGTTTCCTGCTAAAGGCTGAATGACAGCCAAGATGGAGAATAAGTCCAGAAAAAAGGGGTTAACAGTATAATCCTAGATATGTCTACTCTCAGGTAAGTCTATCTGAGCCCCATGGAGCTTACTCTAAGGTAAATAGATACAGAATTTAAGCCCAGATTTCTCTCTAACTTCCTGGCACTGCATTTCATCAAGAGAGAAAATGTGAAATCTATTTCTAACAGTGTAGCAGTTTGCAGACCGATAATTGGAGATCAAGTGCAGTGGGTAATATAAATATAAATGGTTTGTTTTTAATGTTTCTTTTTTAGATAGTGATTTCTCGTTCAGAACGCACAATGCCATATGTGAATTTCCACCTAGATTCCCAACCTGTTTCTCCAGTAGTTATAATTGAGAATTCACCAGGCAGCAGTGGCTATACCCTGGTCGTCACCGGAAAGAAGGTACATAATTCATGATTCTTTGTTTTGCTGATAATATGTTCTTGTGGGAGCAGCCTTATATAAGGATTGCTCCTATTGTCAACCACTATGCAAACTCCAGTTTTGATTTTTTCTTGACTCTCACAGGGTGAGGCTTGAAGGTAATTTGTCCATTTTACAAAGGGAGAACTAAGAAAAAGTCTAACATGTTGATCACCAAACAGGCTGAGCTGGGTCTTGAACACCAACCCATTAAGTCCAAATCTAAAGGGCATTTTTATAATCACTGCTAAGCACATGTCCACCTTTTCTGGCTTCTGAATACTATAGACTTTCTGGACAGTGCACTGTGGCTGCTTGTAATCTCCTGAATTTGGAAGTTTATACGCACCCAGTGGAGGACAGGAAGTGTATGGAGATGAAGGTTTTGGTGTTTTGCCCCAGAACATGAGGAGAGGAAGTCCAGGAGCCACTAGGATACTAGATATACAAGCAGAGACTGTTTCATCCCTGCCCCACAGAGCCCCAAAATACCATCTCTAAGGTTGCTTTTGCAAGCTTACACCTGCAGCCAGCACAGCTCTTTCTGCACCAGCCGTGAGGACAGAGGGAGCGTGCTTAGAATTGAAAGTCCCAGTCCGACCTCAGAACAAGTTTCTGAGGTTGAAGCTGGGACGCTTAAGTTTTCCTATGGCTGTCTAGATTCTGTCTTGCAATCATAGGATTGCACCTTCAGGCTTGACTCAGGTCTACACTATTGATATCTGCACCATAAATGCTTTACATCTGAATATAAAAGTGAAATGATCTAAGTGTTATTTGTGAAATCGGCTTGAAACTGCCTGCACTGACCCAGTGACCAGTAACTGTGGTGCTTATTTGATGCACTCTCTGACATTCTAATTATACTTCTTGTGTAGCCTTTCCAGACTCTCCTGCATGTTATTTGTTTCCTGAAATGTTTTGTGTGTTTGTTTTTGGTCTAAGGAAACAAGTCAATGAATATTGAGCATTGTTTGAACAGGAGAGCTGTGATACAAACCACCAAAGAGAGGAAATACAAATGTAGGGTTGACACCTTTTATTTTTCTTCAGAGCAAGCTGTTGAGACCAGAAATGCTCAATGACTAAGTAAAAGAATGGTGTTCAGCATTTCCTGGTCTTTGTTGATTTATATAAGGCTTAAATGGCATCAAGCATGTCTTATACTCGAAATGTAGCTTAAAGGTGATCTAGCACTTCTTGACAACTGTTTTGCCCCATCCTTTTAGGAACTTCAGTTCCTAATTGATAAGAATCCAGCATTATCCTTGCTTTACAGGTGAATACCTGCAGATAAAATGGTCACCGCTTGCCACATAAAACTGGGCCATGGGCTGACTTGGGTTATTAGGGATGCAATAACTGAAGGTTTCTGTTCTTTGTAAAGAAGGTATTAATTCAAGTTTTTAATCAGTAGCTTCAGTCTTCAATTAATTAAATTCAAAAAACAGTTAATTCAGGGTGTTTTTAAACTCATTCCCTTGTTCACTGTCTTAGGAGATGAGTAAGTAACAACTGCTTTCAGGTAACCCTGCTGTTTGCAAAGCTCATTAATCTGAAGGTTAATGTAAATGTTTTTCTGCTTGTTTCTGTGCCTGTGTTTCTCTGTCTCTCACACATGTTCTCTGTACATACACTTCACATGTGCTTTGGTAGAAACTCGTTGAAATGCTTACATGGTTAAGCAGTTCAGTTTTACATTTAGACAAAACAGACCTTTTTTTCCCTCATCCACCTGTTACTTCCTTGCCTCCAAGCATCCACATGAGGATGTAATTTTCCTTAAAGTGAAGGAGTTTAGAAGCAGATCATATTGACCAAGACTTCTAGATCTATGCATACAAAAATTTTGCATGCATAGTTCTTTAAGGATTGAAGTCAATGTTCTATGTCCTCCAGAAAATGGATTTCTCGGGCCTCTCCTGCAGTTTCTGGAGGGTTGAAGGGCTCTTCTGAACAGATTTGGGAAATGTTTGGTGGGGAGCAAGCCTGCTGCATGAGTAGAAATGAAGTTGCATGTTGTTGGACAGAGCCCTAAGAATATTACACTCCTGTATAGATGCTGGTGGTGTAACACACTTGCCAGGCAAGCTACACAAACTGGTAGAGAAGGAGGGCACATCTCTTCCACCACACAAAGCACTGAAGATCTTGTAAAGATATCATCCCATTCAGACTTCTCATTGCATTGATCCTTCCCAACTTATAAACCAACTGGGAGGCTGAATGTAAGAGATCCTTTGTATACCTTATGGTCACAAGTATTCTTTCATCCTTGGGATTCAGCTAATTCACTTTTTTTAGATCTCTATTATCTATAGGAATAGTGAATTGTTTTGGAATGATGGCTTTGTCATTGTCCCCTCATCAGATAACCAAGATCCCATTAAGTGGGCCAGGGTGTTCTCACTTCAGTACCTGCAGCCAATGTCTCCTGTCACCTTCCTTCATGAACTGTGGCTGGTGTGACGATCGGTGTGTGTGGTCATGGGAGTGCAGCACAGGAGGGTGGACCCAGGACACGTGCTCACCCAAAATCTCTGAGGTAAAACAGTATTTTTCTTGTGCCAATTGAACCTTTCTGTAGCGAATAATATCTGTACCTCTTCCAAATACTGTGTTTGGTTGGTATAGCGATAAGTGTGTACTAAGCTAGGCAAACCCTTATTTCCTCCTTAGAGGGACTCTTGCCAAGAGAGATGCAGCAACTTGCCAGTTCAGCATGGTGTGAGGGCTGGAGGGAGCCAGAGAAAATGATTGCAGGGGGCCAGATGTGGTCCATGGGCTGCCAACTGGCCGTCTTTGCTGTAAACTTCCTTTTCGCTAATTAACTTTTCTCGAATTGTTTGGAAACTGCCTGCTTTCATTCTGTGGAACACCATTGCAACAGGAAAGTGAGGGCCAAAGTAAACATGACAGTGGGAAATCTATGCTTCCATCTCCTTTGTGTGCCTTATGTCCTGAAGGTAACAGGATCAATAAACCCCACCAATCAAATAGGGGCCGCAGCATTACATGTATGTGCTTGTGAACTCTCACCCCACCCATTTGCCCAATACACATCCCACCACTTGCAAAGCTTTTGCTTGCCCCATAAGGAGAAAAAAATTCATAAGCCTAGAAGTCCTTTCTCAAGTTTCACCTAAACAAGAATCCCAGGAACTTGGGAAAGGGCTGATAGAGAGGTTTTCAAGGCTTTGCCCTGAGATTTGCTGTCAGGGTAAAACTGGGAAAGTGTTCAGGCAAGCCAGTTTTACCTTATTATAGCTTTCATCCCTGTAAACTAACTCCTTTGGCCAAAGTTACAAATAGGGGAATAGGTCAGGCATCGCATGGCTTGTGGTCTTTTCTCATGGCAGTTCTGGACTCGCAAGTAGGTACACCCTCAAATCTGTTTCACCTAGAAAGAGTGGAGTGAGTTGTTCATTCCTGATAAAAACATTTGTTTAAAGTGGATTTCTTCCCTATTTTGTAAGGCTTATTTTAAAAAAAGCTGTAAAAATGTAAGTAAAAGCCTGGCTAAATGTAGAGCTTTCCCTCATGGGAGCCTTATAACAGAGCTGTCAATTCCAGAGACAATAGTGGAGTCGAATGCATTCTTTAAAAAAACTCCCTTTTTCCTTTATTGTCGCCCAGTAACTAAAGAGAGCCTGCACAGATGCCCTTGGGAGAGGGGATGACGAGAAGAGGTGTTCAGCTAGAAAAAAGTTCATAAATACAGAAGTGAACAAGAATAAAATTGCTTAAATTAGAAAAGAACCTAGTAGCCTATTGCTGTTTTCATTTAGCTATGGTCATTGGAAGATTTGTACAGGCTGCCTCTACATTTAACCAAATCATTTTGCATTAAGTGTGACATAATTATGAAGGTCTCAGTTTACAGAATGGCCATGGCATTTGCAATCCCACAGATACGTGCACCAGCCACTTAGACTAAAACTTATTTGTCTCTGCTGCAAACCTGATGAAGAGAAATAAATCTTGTAAGTTGCACTTGTAAGTTATAAAACTACTGTAAGCTATTTCAAAACAAAAGGAAGGAAGGAAGGAAGGAAGGAAGGAAGGAAGGAAGGAAGGAAGGAAAACACATGGTGTCAGGATGTAATAGAATCGTGGTAAATATAGCTATTGTAATGGGTTACAGTTCAGTTATGAATTCAGGAATGATTGGTGAGCAGCCCTTTCGCTGTCATGAGCTCCAAAGTTATGTACAGATGCACAGTACAGAGGGAGATCCATCTCCCCTGAAAGGGAGCACTTGCTGTCACTTTAAGCAAGCACATACATCCTAAATGGGGGTAGAAGGCAGGCTTTAAATAACTTTTAAATTATGAAGTCTGATTCATAGTTACATTAGGCCTCTTAGGTAGTTCATAGAGTGTAAAAGGGCCTTAAAGTGAATGTAAATCATATTTAAAACTACATTAAAGCCCCTTTCCCCTGGCAGGGCAAGGGTAAGAGGCCCTCGTGTGGCTGAAATGTCATGGTGTGATGAGTCTGCAAGCCCATCATGGAATTGTTCAGAGCCATCCTGCATGGCTTGTTTGTGACCAGACGAAAACATATTATTGCTGTATTTCATAATGTGTGAAATAACTTTAAAGTTCCGCTTGGAGGAGGCACTAACTTCAGCCCATTCCCATTGTCACCATAATGGCAGTTTTTAAAATCGAGACCACAGAGTCCAGTTACTGATAAATAATTTTGTGAAGATAGTGAATGTAAAAATTTTTTCCTCAAGTGTGCAAGTGGATTGATTTAAAGCCTGAGTTCATTTGCTGAATAAATTATTTTTAAAAATGTAATGAATATTATTCTCTGGCAAAGATAAATCATAAAATATCCTAATAGCTTGCACCATAGCATGTGCAAGTTTATGAAATTTGTTTCTAAGAGCAAGAAATATAATGTAGCTGAGTGCCTGAATCTTTATGGTTGCTAGCTGCTAAGGCAGATTTCATGCTTTGCTGGACCATGACGGTTGGCATTACTACTAAAAATAAAAAAAGACTATTCATCTTTGGCCTAATGCTTTAAACTCATGCACATTAAATCTTACAGAGAACCGTAGGTTTGGCTTCTCCTCCTCCTCTTTTTTTCCTCGGTTACTGTCACATTAAAGAAAACCTCTTTTGTGTAATTTTTGCAATGGAATCTGAAAATCCTGTAATATGTAAAACCTTTTTAGAAGAACAGTGTGATTGAAAATATGTTCAAATACTCTGATGCGGAAATCAAAACATAAAATAGTAGTTGCATAGACCTGAGTCACTGCACGCTCACTATGTTGCCCTTACAGTGCAATCCTAAGCATATTTAGACTGAAAGATGCCCTACAACTCCCAGAATTCCCCAACCAGAATTCTTCAGGACATGTTTTCTGTCTAAACATGCATAGGACTATATGGTTAATGTTATATGAAAAGTTTCCATCATTCTTTATTTGGGTGGCCAGACACAAAACTACATTAGCAATGACTGCAATGGTTTTATCTCCAAAAGATCCAACCTATCAAAATAATTAGGATGTTGCCTTACAAATAGAAATGTATAATTAAGACAATTTGGACTAAAACTAACTTTTCCTTGAAACTTTTCCAGGATAGGAATACCTGTTTCACTTGCATTCAACAGCTATGCTTATTTGGCTTGGGAACTTAGTTGAAATGGCTTGCAATAATTGCTTATACCAATGAGAGAAAAAAATGATATGATTGTTACGACCTGCTATCCATTTGCTTAACTCTTGCCCTTGCTGATATAATACATATAATAGGGAGGAGTGTCCTGCTGGGTCCAGCAGAGGTAGTATATTCCCTCTCAAAAGAGGGGAAGAGTCCATAGTACAACTGCTCTTGTACTATGCAAACAAATATTGGCCAGTTAACATCTTGTTCCTGAGCAAGATGTTCAAATCGGCACTTGCCAGTCAAATCCAAAGTGCAGCTGAAATTAATTTTCTCGATCAATTTCAACTGGTTTTTGGTCACATGTGGGATGACAACTGTTGAGAGAGGAACAGGGGAAGAGCAATCCCATTGATTGTCTTGAATCTCTCAGTGGTTTTTGATGCCACCAACAATAGTATCCTTTTCAATAGACTTCTTGTGTTGGGCATTGGAGGTACTGTTTTTACTGCTCCTACTTGGATGGTCAATTCAGGAAGGTGGTGCTAGGCAGAATTGCCCTGTGCTTTGGCTTTGTCACAAGGTTGATTCTAAATCTCATGCTGTTTAATAACCACACAAAACTACTTTGTGAAGATATCTGGAGGTTTGGACTGAGCTATCACCAAAATGCTGATGATACCAAGTCCTTCATCAAATTCAGGTGAGGCAATGGATGGTCTAAATCCATGCCTGGGCAGATAGGGTACTGAATAAGGGTCAATAAACTGCAGTTTAATTCTGGCAAGGTGCTGAGATTGTTAGAGCGTGGATGATCTACCTTAGCTGAGGGTGTTCAGTGTCAGGAGTTTGCCTTTTTCTTAAGGATCAAATCCACAGTTTGGGATTGCTCTTGTATCTAGAGTTACATGTATGGTTGACCTGGTGAGGGGCTCTTTTTATCAGCTTAGACTGATATACTATCTGCCACCCTATCTTAACAAAGATAGTTATACCTTAGTTATTCACATCTTTGTTGGCTTCCAGTCTGATCTGGCGCTCCTGCAAAGTGTCTTAACCTCTAAATCTGCAAATAGCTTGAGACTATGTTACCTAAAGGATTGTGTTTACTCACATCTACCTACCTGGACCTTAAATTTGTCTTCAGGGGCCTTCAGAACAAAGTGTGGTAGATAACTTCTTGGGTTTGGCCCTTTCGGTAGTAGCACCATGCTTTCGGAATGTTCTTCAGGAGTGGCCCCTGGATTCATAACTACCTTCCACTTCATTGGAGCCCATGTGCCAGACTTGATTTCATATTGCTAGCATGCACATATGAACACACTTGCTAATTATCCTGGTAGAAATATACCACCACAGTGCCTGGGACAGCATATGTCGAGTTTCCTGCCAATGTTCAGTTCAGCCCAGCAACCTATACATGTGCTGTTCAAGGATGTAGAGGATATATTGTTTGATATCAATCTTGTTTGAAAAGCGAGAAAAAGCATCTGGGATAAAATTCCTACTTGATGCTCTTGCATAATGTAAGACATTGAGGAAATGTAACTGTATGCACAAAGATGACCCTGAAGGAGATTCCAAATGGGCTTCATTAACTGTTGGATTAGGTTCTTCAACCCCTTTTTCCCAGGAGCAATAATTTCACTATTATATGGTTCAATTTGTGCAGTGCTTCTAAATGCCTGCTTTTCCTGTAGCATTTCATTTCCTAAATCCTACTAGTATTAAGCCAAGGAGATAGCATTTAAAAGAAATATGCCAGTCTTACTGGATGTTCAAAGAGAACAGTAACCTGAGCATTTTATGAAAAAATGTTCTTTTAAGAGACAACATGAAAAGCAAAGTTCATGATGAAAGGCCCAACTGTGTTGCTTATTAAGAAATAAAATAACTGTTGCTATAAAAGATTAGACCAGAGACACTTTAGTAGGTTCCATCCCAAGCCTAAGTTAAGTCTTTTGTTCTCTGGCCACGGCTTCAGTGTTTGCAAAATTAGATGGCATTGTTAAAAGTCTGTGTAAACCCCAAAGCATTGTCAGATTTGTATTGACAGTGCCAGGCTGAATACCCTTCTCTGAAATTTGTGCAACCTCTATGGTATTCATACATTTTTCCCACCATTGTTACATTTACAGCACAATTTACAATATAAAGAAAACTGTTGGGGGCAGCAAGGGAGGGAAGAACATTTCCTTTTGAGATTGTCACTATGTTGCTGCAAGGTAGTTTATTTTTAACTTGAAATTTAGCAGTAACCAAATGGTGGCGACTCAGCCAAAGAAGTGTAGAAGCCATATTACATGTGTGGCTCCTGAGGCAATGATTGACTTGGACATCCTCCAAGTCATCCTCACGGAATCCTGCCTTTTCATCTAGTTGGTGAAAAAAGTTGCATCTTCAGTCTGATATTCATTTATTCAGCACCATGCTTCTAATAAAATAAGTACATTGTATTCTTCTATATGCCGCAAAAAAGACATAAAACACAAGCTAAAGGGGCATGTAAAAAAAGTATTACAATGCAGAGCTTGTTCAATACCCTTCACTCAATCATTCCACACTTTCTAGCACTGGCTGAATTATTTATGACTCCTGACTGAAGGGGCTCATACTATGATGAACGAAAGGTGAGGAACAATTAAAATGAAGGGTAGGTTACTCTCCAGCAGAAGAATTTATTTTTTGCCATTATTGTTTTCCTTAAAGGAAAAAAAAGCACTTCAAAGTCTATCACAAATCCTAAGCATGTTACTTTTTTCTTTTTAGATTCTTCCAAGTAGTGCAGCTTTTGATGGTGTAACAAGGCTGACCCTGTGTGGGTGGGACTTTGGATTCAGCAAAAATAATAAGTTCAGTTTAAAAAAAACATCAGTTCTTATTGGAGGACAGCGATGCACCCTGGATGTCAAAGCTAGTGACAAAAACAAGTAAGACAAGAATACTCTCTTTCTAAGCAAGTATTGTGATGAATACAGGCAACAAACAACCTGAGTCTATCATTCTTTGGACGTTTGTAACTGAAGTGTGACATGATACATTTATACCAGCTGAACAATGTTTTAATGCATTGTTCGGTTCTAGTACCTTTGAAGTTTTACAGTAATATTATATTGGATTTTTATACCTACAGTCTGTTTACTATCTTGGGTGGAGTGGGTCCAGCAAAGTGACACATGACTATTTAAATCAATCAATAAAAGCAAGTAAATTCAAAATCCATTCCAAAGTTGGTGTGTGGCAAACTACCTGTGTTAATGTGAAATGGTCAAACCCCAAGCTTAGAGTTCTTGCCCAGTCAACAGTCTTCAGTAGCGTTGACCACAAAGTGCCTATTCCACACAAGCAGGATCTTGCAAAAGAAATTATCAAAAGATCCAGTATTCACAAGTCCACTCAGGTGGTTCTTCTCCAGTTTGCCCTACACTTAAGGGATGACTTTGCTACAGTGCCAGCTAAGTGCAGAGAACCTAGTGGGATTAAACCGGCAATTATAAGCATTACTCTGTCATTAAGCAGGCTCACTATACTTGGCTTAAGTGCCAAAGTAGTTCTGTAGATCCCTGTCCATTTTTACAGTTGGTTTCTATTAAAATGCTTTGGGTTCACACAAGGATAATGTCAATGAAGCACTTGCGTTTTTGTGACTGGCTCTTGAAAGTTTAATAGCATCAGGCATTGAGATGCATTTTTTTGCTGCTTTTGGAGACCTAAGGTGGTGGTAGATGCTTTCTTACCACTGTAATCTCCTTTATGGGGGGATTCTTCAAAGAGTGAAGTTCTGCTGCTCTCCCAGTGTTTGGCTATAAAAACTGTTTATTGAGAAACTGGAGTATGTATGTGGTCAAGCTGACAATTGGCAATGCATCTCTAGCTTCAAGGTTCTGTTGAGCTGTCTGCATTCACGGATTTCAAAAAGAATGAGGATGAAATCAATATTCTGCATCAAAAAATGTTCAGTTGGCTAATATTTTTGTTAGTTTGTTTAGGCTGAGTTTATCTGTGGTTTGGATAACATACTTAAGATTAATACCTTTGTCTCTGTTGAAGGTTGGAGTGCACAGTCAGTGCTGTAAAGAATGCACGTTTTAATGTTTCAAGCATTGTTTCAAATGGACAAGCTAATTCTTCCTTCCATACATTTTCTTATGTGGTAAGTTTCAAAGTTTCAAGTTTTGGTTTTGATTAGTTCATATGGACTGACTCATACATTTTTCTTAATCTTTTTAAAATGATTTTGAGCATATTTTGATTTTGTTTTTTGTTTTTGTTTTACTATGCAGGATCCCAAAATAAGAAGTATCTCCCCCAGCTGTGGTCCAAGATCTGGTGGAACATTGCTGACACTAACTGGAGAATACCTAAGCAGTGGGAATTCTCGGGAGATTTATGTGGGTAAAAAGCAGTGCAGCTTAACCAGGTATAATGTGAGAAATAGTGTTTGAACCCCTCCTTGTTTTATACTTTTAAAATAATTTTGTCAAGACAGGTCTTGACAATCGAGTCCTGCATTAAGCATGGTGTTGGACCTGATGGCCTCCTTCCAACCCTACTATTGTTTGATCTTAAAGATAATTTCTAACTCAAGAACTTTTCTAAGTAGTACATAGGTGGCACACAAAATTACTCCTTATGATTACTAGATTCTTCATTTAATTTCAGAATAATGAAAAATAACATTTTATATTTGGATAAATTAAATTATTTTCACCATCATCAATACAAGAATTGCAATTGACTTCAAAAGTTCTTTTTACTCTTTTACTTTTATATGACCAAATCCCACATTTTATCAGGCTAATCTGAAGGTAAATTTTGAAATCTTTAATTCTTTAGTCTAGTAGAATCCTCTCTCAAGATCTTTTGGTTATTGCCCAATATTTTTGGTCAGCAGATATTCCCACCATAAATGAGAGTAAATGCCAGTCTTTTTTCTCTCTTCCTTTTTTTGCATTTCCAGGTAGTAGTCAAATTTTTAAATTTTATTGATCACTGCTGCAACCAAATACCAACTACTCAAAGACTTAGGCAGTGCAAATTAACATATGGGCTGGCTGGAGATTCTAATGCATTTAATGTATTCAAAGGAAGAAAAAAATAGATTCAAATTAATAGTGCATTTTTTTCAGTAGATTGATAACTAGGCCTAATACATTTTGTGCGTGTAAGAAGGATCTATATAATGCAGAGGCTGCAGTACAGTATAGGTCTTGCCTTCCCTATAATGTTGTCTTTTGAACAAGTATTTAGAAGTGCCTCACAAAAGTGAATAACAGTCATGCGTTACATGAAACAGAATAATGAGGGATACCACTTTGGAATACCAAGGGAGGGGATAAGCCAGCATCCTGTTCCGCCTGTTTGAGGTGAAGGACATGCTTTGCTTCCTGACAGCTGTATCCCAGATGGAAAACTTTACTTTGTCCCTGGAATTTTTCCCTGATCCATGGGTTTTCTGAGTCTGAGAAAATACATTTTAGAAAATATGTTGTGTGTCATTAATGCAATTATAGTAAACTTTACTCTCGATTCTGTGGGTTTTTCTTGTGCAGCGTAAATGATAGTACCATAATGTGTTACACCCCTCTACAAAGAGAAATGTTGGAGTGTCCTGTTCAAATGAAAATTGACTCAGTCTTTCGGACAGCTGGTCATTTTACATACAGAGAAGACCCTTCTGTTTCTAAAATTTATCCAGCCAAATCTTTTCTTAGGTAAGTGAAACGTTGCTGTTGAGGTAGGAACAGTGACGAAAAAGGGAATAAACACCGCTGCAAAAATAATCTGCCAAATGAAATGACATATTTTACCTCTAGCTGCAGTGCCAAGTTGATTCTGTTAAGATCTCAGTTGCACGCAGGAGGCAGCACCTTCTCCAAAACTGAGAGAGATCCTATTAGAAATGTTACTGAATTCATGACTCCCTGGCACTTCCCTTTTTTATTCACTTTGGCTCATACTGATACATTGGGCAGGTCTGGATGACATGACAAGCAATGGTGGTTTTTTTGTCATGGTTGGTATGCCATGTCATCTATACCCTATCATGCCATCTCAGCATGGTACTTCAGGCGTTTAGAAACCATGACTAGAAACAACAGTCTGTTCTAAGGTTTCTCAGCATGGTTTCTCATGGCTTGTTGTGTTGTCCCAATCTGGAAAACCCACCATGTTTTGTTTTGTGATCTCAGCTGTCAAAGAGAGGAGCCTGATTCCTCCCTAAAGTGCCTCCTGGGATACTGCCTGGAGGACTGAAAGGAAGGGAGATGGGGTGAGGGAGGTGAGTTAGCAACAAGCCTGATCGTCTCTCAGGCACATCCATGAAAAAGGCACGACACATGCTTGGCATGATGTGTGAACCCAACCCCTGTCTCTCTGTATCTCTTTCTTGTTGTCTCTTCTTTTGGAGATGGGCTTCTTGTCCCTGAGAATAAAACATAATAGACAATTACTGTGCTGTCATTTGGTTTTCTTTGTTCAAAATGCTGCATAGGACCTGGTTGCTTAGGAAGAATCATTCCAGGACAGTTAAACAGTCTGTCCTTCCAGTATCTTTTACCTAAATGTTGGCAAGATCTTAGTTATTTATTACACATCACTCAATAATTGAAGTTCTCTGGGCACTTCACAATAATTAAAGCCATAATATTTTATATATATTAATATTTTGTACAACATAAAATACACTATAAAAGCTTAAAACTATAATATAAAATAGAATTAAAAGCCAAAGTGAAACCTAACCATAGTAAAAAGTTTTAAAATATAAAAAGGATTTAAAACAACAGAAATGGAAAGACTAAAATTCCTGGAAAAATGAAATGTCTTTACCTGGTGCCAAAATGACTGCAACATAGGTGTCCCATGAGCCTTCTAGGGGGAAGTTCATTCCACATCTTGTGGAATGAAATTCATCTTAATGGAAACCACTTAGAATGTCCATCAGATATAGTCTGTGGGACGGATCCAGCAGGGTCTGCCTGCTACAGCTTTTGATGTTTCATGAGCAGAAGTCAACAGATTCATGCTTAATTATTTAATTTCTCTGCTGCCCAGTAAGCCAAAGCAATCTGGGAGGTAAACCACCTTAATAAACAAGAGTTTTGGAGGAAATCCATTATAGTAGCAAGTGCCATTGATATTGCACAGGTGTGGGTAAGGCAGTGTCACTATTGTTCCTCAGGGCATGTTGAGAAATGGTCCCTTCTCATGTGTGCATACATGCTTCTGGCAAGGGAGAAATAGGCACCAAACCTCAGGCTTGCTACTTCTTTCTGGGAAGAGTAAATTATTAGGCTGAGTAATCCTGCAGGAATCTGTATCTAGACCATCCCATACCTTTTTATATCAAATATTCTTCAGTTTCTCGGGATTAAAAGAACACCACTCTTCTCCAGATAGTGAAATAACTGCAGGATCTTCTGGTTCAGTACTTGACATGTTTTTGATGCTTGGGAGAGGAGAAGAAAGTATACAAACTCCTAAAGTCTCCCAAGCTCCATGTGTGGCTTGAAAAGATCGGGGAAAGCTGTTGTACTGGATGTCAATCAAATGTACATTAGTGCTATTCAGGGCTAGTATTTGTTTATATATTCCTAGGGTTTGGACAATCGAAACAGTTGTGTGTTCATGTATTTTTAAACATATTAATATGGGAGGTGGGGGGAAATTACTATTTCTCAAAAAACAGTAAGATTCCAGGTGCAGTAATTGTCACTTTGCTTCTATGTTGCTTTTTTTTATAAAGCTATTTTTAGCCTGTATAATGCAAATAACACATTGATATTTATGAAAATTAAAATACTGCTTTCCTGGATTGGTATTTATATATTTATTTCAATGTCTTTCTTTTCATCAGTGGTGGAAGCACCATTACCGCACAGGGGATCAATTTGAATTCAGCATCCTCTCCCAAAATGGTGGTTCAAGTATCTAAACTAGGCAAAAACTTTACCGTGGTAAGTTTGTAGTGATAGTGTGACCTTTCAGGTGCATATAGAAATGTTGTCAAATAAAAAATACAGCATAATCTTGTGCTTATTTGCTGAAAAGAAAGTCCTGTTGGCTGAATTTATACATCACGCTAACCCACCCTGAGAGTAACCTATGCAGTGTAAACTGTTCATGAAACAAGCCATGGTTTATCCCTGATCAATGAATGGGTTCATTGTGGCTTGTTTTCTTCCTCCTTCCCCCTTATTTTCCTAGCATGCATTGTGATACCTTTCATGGTAGAATTTGATGTGTCTTCCTATCCTGGCTCTGATCACCACCCCTTTTATTGCTACCATTTTTTCCAATGAATCTGAGCAACTTGGGTCTTTTTTTAAAGATTCAGCTCCTGAAAATTGTGCAACTGTGTTTGTAATGTTTTTAAATTATTGTTTTGGAGGTCTTGCGGAAGTTCACACATATGTATCTATGGCTGTCCTACTCATTTAACCTTGCCTAGTTAATTCCCTTATCTGTTTCATTTGTCAGAGGGAGAGGCAAAGTAGAGTAGGCAACATAAATGGAAGTTTAAAAGACAAGACTGCAGTCAGCTAGTTGGCACACCATTGCCAGTATCAACTGCTGAGCCATCAGTAGGAAAGCACTGGTAAAAGCAGAGAAGAAGCAAAGAAGTTGCATCAAAGTTTCTTGCCCTTAGCAATGCAATCCTCTTTCTGTATAACTTCTCAGTACCATTAGAAAGAGGAGATACTGGACTATTTTGCAAAAAGACCAGCTTTTTTTAAAAAAAACACAAACATATTTGTGCTACTTTCGAGGGCAAAAAAAGTGGTAAATGAGTGATTGTCACTCCAAAGTGCTGCTGGGCATTGGAGGAGGGACAGTCAGTGGTGGTGGCATGGGTGGGGACATTGCCACCCTTGCCTAGTTGCTTGCTGTTTGGTCCCTGGATTGAATTTGTTCTCCTGGGTTCGGATGACCTGACCAGCCATCATAGTACAAACAACAGTCCATGCACTATCAGGATGGCTTGCTCCTGAAAAAGAACCCCACCACCTGGGAAGCTGGTCTGGGTTCAGATGGCACAGCAACACATCGTGACTAGCTACCTATGCTATGTTGTCAGGCCATGCAAACCCAGTATTCATTGCAGCGTACTTTCTATTCGCTGTGCATACAATTGCAGCATTCCTGGCTTCCTTCCATGTTGGGCAAATATGCTTCATGTTGGGTATGTGTATTTACCAACAGCAGCATTATCGTGCTCGTCATCAGTCTGGCATCTCCACTTCCACTTGCTTCAGGCAGGTAGGCTGTCATCAGCATTGTTATTCCTCATGTGACAATTTATACCAGGAGTACAGAACCTCTTTAGCCCAAAGGGCCAGATCTATTGCAGAGAAGCTCCCGGGGGACAATTTCCAGTGGTGGGTACAGCCAAAGGCCATGGCACTGGGACCAAAATGCGAAATGTACTAGCTTAAAGCCCTTGCAGCCAGTAACTATGCCTTAGGAAAGGCATGTTGACAATTTGGAACAGATGAACGCTATACAATGGTCAAGAAGCTGCCAACAACAGGCAATTGGGAGCTGGGAATAAGGAGAGGGTCTAGTAAAGGTGGCTTGGAATTCTAGGGAATCCTAGACGACCACATTTTGTCACTGGATGTGTGATACTGCACCTGTGATTTATACCCTCAAAATTCAACAATTTTATTTTAAACTATAGAGTCAATCTCTTAAATGCTAAATAATTACTCTAGGGAGGGAGTAGAAAATGTGCAAGACTGTGCTGATTTTCCCTAATTCTGCTGCACACTACCTGAACTAGGCTTTCTCAAACTTGACCCTGCTACAATTAGGTAAATGTTACAATGATGCAGTCAGGAAGCTACCAAAATGCAGCTCCTCTTTTTATGCATGCATTCAGTCCTATAACACCTGACCTGTGAAAACTGGGAATACTTACACTGGATTAGGAAATAGGAAGAACACAGAAACTACCATGGGGATGTTGTTATTCTTTTAGATAATGAGAAATTATAATAGATGAAAACATGCTCTGAATAAGCAAGAATTTTAAATTTTGAATAGTTTCTGAAATCAGTTTTAATGATTTCTGATAAATTGACAGAAGAAACTTATATGTTCTTTTGCATCAAAGATAGCAGCAAGGAATAACATTGGGGGTCTGATTTTCTTAAAGGCTCTGGGAGTATGCTCAGTCAAATTGGAAGGCAGCATAGTGCAAACCTCTGTGCCAGCACAATTTCCAAATACCACAAAACATATTAAGACTAGCCAAGCATGATGATAAATCCTCTGTCACGCAGGCTTGCATTTGGCCTTGTCAAGGAAATGTCCTTTCTTATTCCAGAGAAGCCTTTACAGAGAAAGAGAAACCATCACAGACAGAAATATTAATGTCCAGATTGCCATGATTTAAGAACAAATCCACTTTAGGGTGAAGTCTGCGGATCAGAATTCAGTGTCCTGAAAACATTTGAGAAATCTGGGGAAGCAAAGATAACATGGAGCTGTTTGTGCTATGAAATAATAGCACGGATGATGGCATCTATGCTAGGAAAATGCCCAGACACATTCTTTGATCAAGCATAGATTTATATGACTGGCACTCAGGAAGATTTATGTGTGTACAGTTAGGCGTGTGTAGCTATCAAACAAAAGAAAGACAAATTTAGGCCATCACCTGAAAAGCAGCACTAGGTTCTCAGACTGTGTAGCAGTAGATGATGCCTCGACAGTGAAGAGCAGTATAGTGGGACTTGACAGCCCATTCCTATAAAAGCCACCTGGTCTCAGATCACCATGCAAAGTCAAACTGACCTTTTGATTGGTGTCAGTAGAGGCCAATTTAAACGTAGTGATCTCAGTTTCCTAACTGTGGCTTTGAAAACTAGGAATGAAAGTGAGGCCCATGTACTTTCTCCTTGCCCTTCCCTCCTTTCATACACAAGCTTCAGTTCTCAAGTACTGGTCTGTTTGAACTAGAGTTCAAAATTCTGGTTTATTTTCCATTACTTACCAGGACCTTAAAGTAGTATTCAAACTATTGTTTAAGATCCTGGTTAGTAATTGACACAAACGTAGAGGGAATTCTGAATCAGACTCAACTGAAGTACCAAAGTTGCCATTTAAAAGGAAGGGTGAAGGAGGAGCACAGCCAGAGCTGATGCTAGCTTTCACCTTCCTAATCTATAGCTTAGCAAGCCAGAATCATTATATAGTGGTACCTTGGCTCATGAATGCCTTGGTTCATGACCAAATTGGGTCGCAAACAAAAATGTCATGAAAATTTTGACGCAGGTCACGAACTCCACTTTGGGTGGTGACCAAGATAGCAGCCATCTCTCCACCCCCCTGAGTGGGGAGATGGCCGTGATAACAGTTGCGTTTGTGCAAGGAAGACATGCGTGATCATGGGTGCGCTTCTGCAGGAAAGACAGGCGCAATCTCGGCCATCTCCCCCGCCCCCAGAACTAGCACGGTTGCAGCCATCTCCTCATCCCCCAGAGTGGGGAGATGGCCGCGATTTTGCTGGGGGTGTGGGTGGGGAGATGGCCAAGATTGCACCTGTCTCTCCCTCCTCAGCACACTCCGTTCGCACCTGTCCCTCCCTCCCCCAGCGCATCCCGTTCATGCCCGTCTCTTCCTCCCCCAGCACGCTCTGTTCATGCCCATCTCTCTCTCACCCAGTACACCCATGATCCCACCCGTCTCCCCCTCCTGAGCACGCCAGGGTGACGGCTGCATGCAAGGATGGCGGGCCGATCTCGGTCATGCTGGGGGGGGGCGGGGAGATGGCCGCACTTGTGCTCAGGGTGGGGAGGGGGAGATGGCTGCGATCTTTGTTGTTCTTTGTCACTTTGCTTCACAATTTTCTGATTTAAAAAATGGTTACAGAACGGATTAACCTTATTAACATTGAAACTTATGGGGAAATTTAACTTAGCTCATAACCAATTTGGGTTACGACCAGAGTCCTGGAATGGATCAAGTTCGTGAGCCAAGGTACCACTGTATCTGAAAGCTCCTATGAGTGTGTGTGATGCTTTTTTTCTGCATTACTTGCCAGTGTGCCCCTAACTGCCATTTCATTCACTGTTCACCAATCTCTGGAAAAACATACAAGGGCTGGCAGAAGCCACCTTAACTTCTCATGAGAAATCTTGGCCTAGAAGTCTTGCACTTGGGTAGATGCATCTGCTTGTTAAAAAGAATTTCATCACTTTTTTCCAAGTGCCTGATACTGATCTAAATCTTTCCATTCTGTTCTCTAAAACGTGGCCATTCTACATTCTGTGTCAAAGGCCTTTTATTGTGAGGGCTGCTGTGATGGCCCAGATTCTATGACAACCACCTTTTACCCCTTGCTTTATCTGGGTCAACTGTTAGGCGATGCCCTGAAGCACACAGATCTTCTTTGTTTATCCAGTTGTTGTGCAACTTAAAGCAAAATCAAGTTAGTTGCTAGAGTTCAGTTTTTATGGGTCATGTTTGCATTCATTGTCTCATAGGTCCACAGTTCGTGTCAAGGTAAGTATGTTTCCATGTGGCAAGTCAGATTTGTTTTGTGAGGAAGTCTGTCTGCTCTCCAGTGATCCATCTAAAGATGATTTGATCTTCAGCTATATTTCATGTTTTGGCAAATACCTCCATTTGCATTCTCAAACAAATCACCTGAAATATGTAGTTTACATAGTTAAAATAAATGTATTTTAATCCAGATTGAACAGGCAATATCTTAATATAGTCTTGCCTAGATTGAATTGGATTTTTCTTATAGATTATCAGTCCAGTATTTCATGAAAAGCATCACATTTTTCAATTACTAAAACCAGTTTCAAAGTAAAAAATGTCATGTCAAATTATATAACAATAAGGGCACTACAAATGCAATTTCACTTGACCTTCCCAATCAGTCACATTGCATCACCACTAAAGAGTATTATTAGATTTTTTTTATCATTCTCTGAAAGCATCCTTTTCAGAAACTATCCTGATAAAGTAAAGAGCTATAGACTCTGTTCCAATAGATGCCCACAAACTAGGTTATGAATGCCACCATTATTAATTTAAAAGACATTGGTACTCTACAGTAGATAAGATGTACAATGAATTTACACTAATGAAATTGGCATAAAGATTACCAGGAATATCTTTTGATGTATACAAATGTTTCCATGTGTAATCATTTACATTCTAGATACCTTAAAAGTAGGAAATAACTATATTTTAGTGTTATTAATGTACAATGAGAAATTTTTCTGAGGCCATTGGAGCAACACTGCAGTATTTACATGCTCAGCCTATAGCTTTACTAGTATTAAATAATTTAGGGACACACTGGAATGTGTCTTTTCTAAGTTTTAGTAAGTCTGGACCCAACTGCTTATGAACAGAAGAATCATATATATGCCTATTCTGAGTTAAGCCCCACTGTATTCAGTAGATTGACCTTCTGGGAAATGTTTAGGACTATAACCACAAACCCCATTTCTCAAGATATGCACACATAGCAATTGCTAGATTATGGAAGAGACTGCTCTGTGGCTGCCTGAACCAAAATCTGCATCATGTGTTCATTCCTGGGAATGTATCATTCTCAGTTCACACAGTGGTGCCTTTAAAATACCCCATCCAGACCCCACATTAGCTTTATGATAATCTCACATAATATCTACTTTGGCCCCAAATAGAAAGCAGAGCATAGAAACGAGTTGAGGCCTGCACAATACATAGTTTGCAGGGGAAGACTTGGAGTTGGGAAAAGAAGCATCTGCAATCATCTGGCCATTGTAAGAATTGGTGGGCGGACCCTCATACTTTGGAGAACTGTGCCGATGTTCCAAGCTCAGGAAACACCTGTGCCTTCCACCAGGCCCTACAAGAGGGTTGGGCATGCTACCCATAGTTTTACAAGACTGGGTGTCAGAATTACCAAATGATGCATCGTGTTGCTTTCTAAAGCATCTACTTTGCAGCATGGCTTACTATTGCTATCACTTGTTCTTTCCAATCACCTGTGCATTATACTGTAATGCGCTATCTAAAATGCTTTTTTTTTTCTTGAAAGCTTACTCTGACCAGAGTCATGAGGGAGGCAGCTGCCTCATCAGTATCTTTTGTTGTCACTGAATCCTGGCCAGAGCTACCTGACACTTTTAACTGCCAGCATTTGAAGTCTTATCTTCCACTTTCCTACTTCAGAATTGTGAAGATATGATTATGTTCAACGGACAGAAGCCAGAACTGTGGTAGTTTGCAAACTACAAGAAAATAGACTTGTATTGTATGTGATTAAAAGGGCTGGATGTTTTACACAGTGGGTAATGAGCCACAGTAGGTTCTTGTGCCATGAAAAGCCAGACTCCTTCCCACAGGGTAGTTGCCTTGGAACAACATGCCATTCTGAAAACCCATGGCTTGTTCTAGGGGGTTGTTGAACCCACAGTGGGTGGACATGCTGGCCAAACCTGGCACACATCCTACTGTGGATGCATTGAAGTAATGAGTGAGCTGTTTGGCAAGACTGGCCGAAAGCCCTTACTGCTTCCTCTGAGTTGCCTTGGCTACCACCCATGACAGCTGCTCCAGCAGCGCCAAGTAGCATGATGGAGCAACCGCCAGAGTCTCGGTATCCCCGTTTTGCTCCTTATCTTTTTTATTATCTGATAACCTGTTTGCTGGCTTGCTCGGTTAATGACCAGAGCTGATACTTATTCAGTTTGACGAAAGGCATTTACTATGACTTCAAGCAGACAAGACTTTTCATTTTGATTACTGCATGTGCACATTTCCACACTATTAACCAAGAACCCCAACTCCCAAATATTTCACACATTCCTGCTGCCTACGATCTAAGAAAAAATAGGTATAAACCAGTGATGGCCACTCCAATGTGCCACTTGGGCACTTTGAAAGGGCTGTCAGTGGCAGGAATTGTGAAAGGGTCATGAAAGGAGAACAAAGAGGGATTATGACTAGACTAGGAAGTCCCTTGGGATACTGGCAGGAAGACAGAGAAGGAAACAGGCAGGAATAATCCACTCTAAACCTGATCATCTGTCAAGCACCCCATGGGTTCTTCCATGAACAACCATCAGTGCGTAGTGCCGTATTGTGCAAAATCTTCCAAATTGTTTTCCATATGGATCAGCCTCCACATGAATTATCTTGAAGCACCTACAACACAACAGCTGAACATTTCTGAGCAGTCTGCTGCAAATTGGCTTTTGCGTTTGTGTAAAATAAGCCATGTTGCATAAATGTTACGTGGTTCATTTTGCACAGAAACAGCTGAATTTTCTGGGCCGAGAACATGAGATTCTGGCAGAGAAGATAAATGGCTCTCTTCAGCTATTAAGGCATTGTGCAGAAGGAGGGTCTGTTTGTGTTTTCCCACCCTTTTATTAATGTATTGTTCAGTAATTCTGCAATTTATTACATAGTACAATGAGGTGGTGCGGAGGGGGGGCATTCCAAACTGCTGCCAGTTTTGAGATTGAGGTGCCCCATAGAGTTTTTGGCAGGAATGAGTAATATTTTTCCCTGTTGTCTGAATTAAATTCCGTTACTGGTTTATTTCCCTAGCTGTTCCAGTTGAATAAAATACCACAGTCCTCTGCTATGTCCTATTTGCACTGTCCTGTCAGATGAAAAAGGATACAACTGGAACAGAATTTCCCATGGCCATTTGAACCAACAACTTTAAATTAATTTTAGGGAGATTTTGTGTACCGATGAGTTTAGATAAAGATGACAGACGTTCAGCTTCTTTATTCAGAATTTATGAGAAACAGACTGCACAGCCTTGGAGATCCACAGTTGATCTCTTGACTTGTTTGTTTGTTTTGTGAATTAAATGGTTGATGTGAGTTTTGTTTTTACTGACTGTAGGGGTTCCTAATAATGTGATTAGATGAAATGTTGAAGCATTTGATGGCCTTTTCCTTGGCACTGTTTCCTGATGTACATACACAGGCTGCAACTAACAGCTTGATGTGTTTACATAAATTAGCAAAAAAGGGTTAAAACACCATGTAGCATGTAAATGTAACAATGCAATATAATATCACTTTAGCCAATTCAAGTGGCATATTATGACACTTTTAGCTGTCATTAATTTTAACAGTGGGTGATGGGGAATCGATCTATTGTAGATCCAGCATAGTTTGGACTTCAGTTGGACACAGAGTGCATCAAAGGGTTGGATCCAGTCTTAGTCATATTTATTGAACACAACAGGACTTAAAGTAGTCATGACTAAGATAAACAGAATCTCCACATTGGTGACAGAGAGTCTGACAGAACTAGTACATCAATCTATTTTTCCTTGCATTTTTGCATCTGAACATGCTGATTACATGTGGTCTTATGCATTAGATGAACAGATAGGTACGTATGATTTAATGTTCTATAAACCTGATATAGACTGCATTTGGACGTTGTGATAATCCATACCATATTGTGATGAAAATTGACCTAAGTGAGCTTCAAGCTTCTGTCTTCTGCCCTTCTGCTTTGCTGATCTTCTTGGCTTCAACAAGACATTCAGAAGTTTTTGTTTCTATTTTTTTTTTATTATCTGCAACTTACTGTGTTGTCCAGACCTGATAAATTGTAGTTGATCTTATGACTTGTTCAGAACAAAGCAACTTTCAACCATGGTTTTTAAGCTGGCTTGTTTCAACAAACTATAGCTAAAATTGACCACAGTTTAGGGTTCAGCTGTTTAGCTAAACTGCAGTTAATCAACAATAAATTTGAATGGTTCCAATTTACTTGTGGGCGTGCAAGAGAGAGGCACAGCATGCAGGCTTTCTGCATTTTGTGCCTCTCGTGACAAATTATGATAAATGAGACTAAAATCTTGGTCTATCTTCTTTGTCATGCCCTCTTTTAGTTTATTTTGTAAAGTGAAAGAGGTACATTCTCAGTACTTTGTAGATTTAAATAGCTGAGCAATTTCTAAAGAGGCAGGCACAGATGATCTCATCCACTTCCATGAAATTTAGTGAACACATGGCTTTGGGTTGAGGTGTAAGACAGCATTCCCCAAGCTGGTGACTTCCAGATATGTTGACAAAAACACACATCATGCCCAGTCAACATGGCAAATAATTAGTGCATTAAAAAACGAAGTTAGCTGGATGAGAATTGATAACCTTCATGTGTTTCCATCATGAACCTCACTCCCCAAGATTGTTGGAGCAGTGGACTCACAACCTCAACTAAACATAAAAATAATATATTTGGGGTAGGGAGGTGTCTCTCCAAGATACTCACACTAATTCTTGCTTCTGCACAGCAATACCTCTAATTTATAAGTGCCTAGTTTTACAATGGGTTATCTATTCTACTGTCATAGTAAAGGAAGAAAACACAGTATAATGGCAACATAACTTTTAAAGCATAGTGTAACAAAAGGCAAACTTTCATACAAAATATTTCAGGTTTGCTTATATGGTTAAATATTCTTGTACTTAGCTTGTTACTTTCTCTTACTGCAGGCATGTAACAATCGGTCAAATTCTGAGATAACTTGCTATACAACTCCCTCACTGAAGTTCTACAACCTGACGCTTCCATTTGTGACAAAAGTTTTTTTCATTTTTGATGGTGTCATTTCATCTGGTTTTAATTTTGATTATGTGAATGACCCTAACTTTACAATTTCTGAAGAACCAGTGCTGATTTCCAATGGAAACCAAAATATAGTGATTAAGGTAAGATCTTAATTGGTTTTAAGTGAGGCAAATGTGTTTTCATCTCCAGCACCACACCAAGGATTTTAGTATGTCAGCCATAAAGCATGACTGGACTTGAAGATATCAAGCAAACAGCAGTATGAATGTGTGGAGAACAAAGAAATGGGACAAAACACAGCAAGTTTAGGTTAAATTCAGTTGTTCATGAAAATAATTTTAGTACATGCTGTTGTCAGAACAGATTTAAGTGAAATCACTACTTCAAATAGACCCCAAATGAACTCTCTCATTTGCTAAATGCTTGTAATTATGATGGGTGGGGTATAAGTGAAATTTTGCATTTTGCAAGAATTTGTAAGAAATGAAAGCCATTGCGGGTTTATTGTTAGTGAAAAGTAGGCCATGTAATCGGTTGCTGGCAGTAGGAAAATGAAGTTCAGTGAAATGACGTCATGTGATGTGTTGTCCTACTACATGGGGAGTGGGGAATCACGATGGCAGCAACTCTTTGTTTCTTGTACAGTCCCCTTCTGCCCTTAGCCACAAGTGTTCACCCTCTGGAAATAGAAAGAGTAAAGGAAACAGATGTGCCAAAACTTTATATGGGAGCCTCATTGCATCTTTAGAAAGCAATTCATTAGGACTCCATAGAAAACAGCAGAACTGTCTGATCTTCCAAAGAACCCATTACAAAAGGCAAAGAGCATTTGCCAACTCCAGGATTTTGCAAATCTGCCTCTGGATGCCTTACATATGACCGAGTTGTAAAATGGCAAGGCATTCAGTTATAGTTATACATGTGCTTGCCAAGATTATGGGTCACTGAATCAAAATGCATCTCTGCATGAATCCTAGATCAGGTACTTGGATGGTCATATTCTGCCATCAGTTCTAAGAACAAGGGAATTTCCTTCCAAAGTGGCTGGTGGCTGAATAGTTTTGTATCCCAGGCAGTTTCTAGCAGGACTGAACCCAGGGCAGAAATGGACAAATGCAGGCTAGTCTGGCCACCAGATAAAATGAAACTTAGTGGATGTCGTGTTTTGTAATCAGCATACATCCTAGATGGTGTTTGCTTGCTCCCTTTTTGAAGTATTGCCTTTCAGCTGGCAGACAGGCACAATTGGAGTTGCAGGGGGGAGGTACTCAGTCCCAAATAACTCTCTTTAGCATAGGTGTCTAAGCTGTGGGCCACAGGTAACTCCTTGTTGTGTGCCTCCCAGGGGGGACCCACCACTTTTAACCACAGCCCAGCAAAGCTGCAGGGAAATTACTGCTGGGGAATGATGAGGTACAGGAAGAAGTTTTAGCTTTTTTCAGTGATCCTGATGCACCCAGAATCACTGTTTTCTGATGTTAATAGTAGCAGGAAAACTGAAATCTTGAAGGAATTGCTACAGGCTGAGAGAGACTTTAGCCTTCCTCCCTCTTCCTCAGTGCTGCTGAGAAAACTGCTTTTCCCACCACCGATGAGCTATAAACTAATCTTCTATCATTCAGTATGGCCTGTATTCATGTGAATCATTATTCTTTGTGGATGTATGTATCCTAACATGCTTAAACACCGTTTTTTTCACTTATTAAATAGAGTTTGAGCGGTAACCATAGATGTATATAAAAGAAGCACATTTCCCTGCTCCCATCTCTGTCAGGAGATCTAATACAGATTGCCTTGATCTAGAGATTGTGCTGTAAATTATAGGAATGTCTATATTCTTCACTAATGCCTTACACCACAATTGGCTAGATGTTGAATAACATCACTGAGTAGTTCCCATTAAAAATTAGAAGTACATCATAGCGTAGCGTCTGATGGTTATGCACATTCTCCCCCACAAGTTAAACTCAGAGTGGAGGCAGTCATACACTGTCGGACAGCTTTTGAGAACTTGTGTTCCTTCAGTCAAAAGGTCACCGTGGGCCAGATTGGCAGTACTGTAAGTTTATGTACACACAAAAACAGAAGCAAGTTTACATGCCTCTTGATCATATTTTGTTGTCCAATAATTAAGCAAGCACAGCATGAAATTAAATGGCCGCTTGGTTCAGTGAACAAACAGTTCTTGCTGAACCAAAATTCTTTTATCTACTCTCTTAATTAGTTTCAGAAGAACGAAAGAACCTTCCTCACTTGGCTTTTCACTAAAAACAATCTAGTGTGGCACATTTTGCTTCCAGCAAATGAATATATACAAACCCACAGTTTATTTTTTTATCTAACTCAAAGACAACAAAGTACTTTATAAATAAATGTTTATACCAAAACCCCCATATTTATATAGCCGCTTTATTTATTTAAAATACTCTAGTCAGGCGTAGCTCATGCAACATAGCTTATAACCAAAAATATAAAATACATTAAAATATCAAACGATTTTAAAGTAGAACTATAAAAACTAGGCAAAAGACATCTCATAAAGTTTCAAAAACAAGTTAAGAAGCTTGTTAATTTCACAAAAACCCACAATCACTAAAATACTAAGGAGAAGCCCATCAGAGTCCTTTGGAAGCTTACTGTAGGGATCAAACAGCATTCAGTTCAAAAGGCATTCCATGTTGAGTGGCCATCACTGTCAAGCCCTAGCACTTATGCCTGTCAACTTTGTCACTCTTACAAGTAGGCAAACAAGCACGGTCTCCAGAGTTGAAAACATAAAGGCAAATTAATAGAGCCAATAGTTTTTTGAGTTTTCTGATTTCTTCAGAAAACCTGGTCTCAAGCCATCACACTTTCCACCAATCAAAGTTTTCAAATCTCTTATATTTGTCCCTTTAATATAATTTCCAGGGCAGCTAAGTCGATCAAGTATTTTCAAGTAAATAGGACCACTGCATGAAGAGCAGCTCTGCTCCATGTTTTGTTGTTCTTGGGTGGTGCGGGGGAAGGGGGAAGGACAACACTTTTTATCTTTTATCTGGGAAACAAGACACAACATGCTTACCCATACTCAAGGTTTAGTAGGAGTGGAGTGTGCATTGTTGACCCATTGGTTATTGTTGAATTGTGGTGTGTCATGTCATCTGAACTCAGTTGCACTAACAAGGCTGTGATTTGTTAACCACAAACAACTCCTGAAGATAGCATATGGTCTGATGCTGGGTTGTTTGTGGTTAACAAATCATGATATGTTACAACAACTTCAGGCAACACAACCCACATATCAACAACTAAGGGTTCAACAACAACCCACACTCAACTCATACTCAGCTTTGAGTGTGGGTTGTCATATTATCTGAACCCAGCCTTTGATAGAAAGAATTGTAGAGTGTTTATGTAGTACAAATGTGATGTTCCAGTCTGAAACATGAGACCAATAGTAGTTTATTTGAATAACTTTTTATTACAATGCTTGTTAATATAAATAGAAACATAAAATGTTTGATGTAAACAGAACAAACAGAAACAAAAATGAACTTGTTGGATATCTAGCATTTTACAGAAATCCACAGTCTGTCCAGGTGTTCAAAAGAATGTGTGAAGTGTCAACGTATATATTGGGAATGGGAGTGCATGTGTTGCACCCAATGGCTCTGTAATTGGTTGCTTGTACACTTTTAAAGAACCCATCAGAAAAGTATGTGCCTTCCAAGTGGCCATTGAAGCTCCTTGGTATACCTTCTATCCAGCTGAATACCCCCTCAAACTTTTACTTCTTCCTTTATCTGTGTAAACTCAGGATTTATTAATAGCTGCTTTGAATGTGCTACCCTAGATTCCACTAAGTTGCCTGCTGGGTTTATTGCCTGCCCTGTCAAAGAATGGAGCAGCACAGTTCCCATAGGAATCCACTGAGATGGCTCAGTTACAATATTCGTAAAAATACCAAGCGCACCTAATCAATCGCAGATGTACATAGCGCACACTCATTCAATTTCTCATCTTTTTAATGTTACATGGGATACAGTATTTCCAGTGCAGGAAGTTAGCACCATCCTATATAAGCCCAGAATAAAAACAATCTAGCCACAGAATGTTTTGCTATGACTGCACTTCAGGGACTCTCAGCATCCTAAGGTGCACATTTCCACATGTGACTAATACAAGAGGTTTCCCATAGACTGCTATGGGGACCAAATTAGCCAATTAGGTGAGCAGTGCATTTATAGGGCTTTCACTCAGGAGCACTCTTTCTGTCCAGCCTTCTGCATTTCAATATGCAATGGATTTCTGTAGCCATTCAAGATGGCAAGACTTTCTTAGATCTTTATTCTAAGGCTGTAGGAGAGAGAGCAGAATTGCACACTATTGTAATGTATTCCTGTGCTATTTAGAAACTCAGCTAATTCTGTGCAAATAGGGTCATAACTTAGCATCCTGACTGAGGCAGGGGAAGCAATTGAGCAGGATCCACACTTTGCTAATGGATCATAGCAATCCTGAAGATTGATTGACTGTGGCAGAAACTAAAGTCTGTCTACTGTCTGTTAGGATCCAGTATATATGCAAATACTTTCCCAGGAGCATTTGGAAGGATAAAAATTTGTCTGGATTTATTCCGAGGCTGTAATGTAAGGCAAATACGGCCACACCTCACAGAGCAGCATTTGCAAAGTGCTGAGATAATGTATACCAAAGGTAGTACCAAAACACTTAAGAGAAGGGAAGAAAGGGTGAAGCCATAAGCATCCCACTGAATCATGAATCACCCGTTTACTATTGTGGTTGGTAGTTGAGCTTATCTGAAAGAGAACAGACAGAGGAAAACATAGCAGGATACAACCAGAGCCAACACACTGCAGTAGCCATTTGAAAGGGCAATCATTTTCTGTTTGTCCATTGAAGTTGGTCCATAAAACTCAGTGTTTTAAGCAAAAAATACCCCTTGGTTTAATGGATTTTAATGACTGTGCAGCAATTCAATGCATTTATCTGACTAAGGAATTGATGCCTTCCAGTATTCATTGTTATTTGTTTTAGTTTATTTCTCCAAAAAATAAGTTTTAATTATTTGTTTTAGTTTATTTCTCCTTAGGTGTGAAAGGAAAAAAGAACCTATCTTGGTAGAATTTTCTTATTGACTGGTTTCAGATATGATAAAGGCTGAGTATAGCTTTAATGTGAGGTGACATTGAGCTTTGGATTGTTGTTGAAATGTGTTACTGTTTTATGTGAACTCAGTCATGTTAGTGAGCCATGGCTTGTTAGCCCCAACAGCTCATGAAGAGAACTCATAGTTGGACATTGAGTTGTTAATCATGGTGTGTTACCTAGGCTGGGTTCAGTCAACAGGATAACCATTTCAGCCACAACCCACAACCCATCATGTTGCCTGGGCCCAGTCATTGTCTTTGTTGTATGTTTTTTCTAATAATTTTTATCCATTTTTTCTAGGGAAAAAATATTGACTTGGAAGCTATTAAAGGTGAAATACTACAAGTTGGAAACAAGAGCTGTGAGAATATCACCTTGAAGTTGCAATCTGTTTCATGTACTGTTCCGAAGGAGCTACTGAAAATGAACCGTGAACTAAATATAGTGGTATGATCTCTGCAGTAACATGACGTACTTGAAAAGCTTCATCCTGCCCCAAATTCTAGAGTAGTGGATGGTGAAGTGGCTTGTGTCTTACATATGAGCACAGCCCTTCTATAACCTTTCCCTTCCCTTCCCTTCCCTTCCCTTCCCTTCCCTTCCCTTCCCTTCCCTCTGGCTCTCTTTTTTGTGAAGTGGGGTGCAATTTCCTGAGCTAAGCTGTTTTGCATGCTTTACCACATACAACAGCATCACCTCCAGCTGAATGAATTAGAGCTTTATCTATTGGGCGGGTCTAAATTTACAAAAAATAATGAATCATCCTGGAAGATTAAAACTTGAAGGTTGCTCTTTAACCTTCCCTTTATACGGGTAGTCCTGGAACTGTTCACATTTTCAGAAAAATGTGGACAGTGTCAGGCTAGTTCTTTGATAGATCATGGCACATGATTTACTTCAGTCACATTGGTAATAGTCTGATGATATGTGGTTGCCCGATTGTTTGATGATCAAACTTTATTTTGCTTGTGGTAATAAAGTGCAGGATTTATGGAGCTGGTGGAACAGGAAAGTGATCTATTTTGATATGGTAATATTAGGGTGTAATCAAGTTGTTTGGGTGGCAGATGTTGGCAAAATGTATCCCTTATTTCTCCTGAGTAAACCTGGTCACTTCCACCAGTTGCTCAAGCCATGGAACCATGTCTACTGGCTGCACATATCATGGTTCACTGAGACTCACCCACCCTACAAATCAAGCCAATTATACACCAATATTAGCACATAGAACTGCCACTAATGAACAAGTATCTTTTTGTATAAGCAGATGGTGCCTATTATTTTTATATTTTATTTATACAAGAATGTAGAACATGCTTTTTCTCTCCCAAAAACAGTTGTTCCCAGTAGCTAACAAAATATATAAACAGACACCAAATAAATACTATCCTTACTTAAACAAGATTACCAGGTTAAAACAGTACCAGGTACAAAGACAAAGACAAAAATCAAGGAGCTGAAACAAACAATAAGTTAAACGATGACAAAAGCAAAAGGTCATTTAAAAAGAAATCTTCAGCTGTTGGAGGAGCACAAATAATGAGGAAGAAGCCTGGCTTCTCCATACACAAGGCGCTGTAACAGAGAATCCTCTTCTCCACTACCAGCTACTGTCCTTCAGAAAGAAACAGCACATGAAAGAGGACAGCAGCTGATCGTAGCAGACAAGCAGATTCATATTCCGGCCATCACTCAGCTTCTTTACCCTCTGTATCTAGGCTCTCTTCTCTGGCCTCCCCAAACCCCTGTGAGGCTTAAAACAGCTGTTTTGCAAGAGGTCTGTGATAATTTCTTTAGACTATAATTAAAAAACAATAATCCAGCTGTTTTTGACTGGAGCAGTAGCTAGACGGGAAAGGTGTGTTTGCTCTTTCTGCCATGCTGCCTTCTCTGTCATACCTCATCACCGAGCTTCTCCTAGCCCCATTTGGGAAAACGCAGGTACTTGTGTATCACTGATTTTTCTTCCTGCTCCAATGGAGGTAAGAGGAATTGATTTACATTTGTAAAATCACAAGGGGAGGGGATAAAGGCAAACTCGTCACCTATAAAGAAGCTGGCTCATTGGATGCTATGTGAGCAACTTCTGGATGCCTGGGAACTGGGCTCTCCTGCACCAGAAGGACTAGGTGGAATATTCTGAAGAATACTTATCCATCTTATGCCCATGGAAACCAAACTAAGAAAAAGACAGGAACTCGCAAGGAAAAATGGTTACACACATGACTTGGATAGATATTTATGCAATGACTTTCTCTTCTGTGCTTCCCCAAATGAAGTTGAGCTCTGGTTTGTGTGTAAGAAGCATTTGTGATTTCCCCTGTTCTTTCAGTGGAAGAAAGAAGTTTCATCTGTAGTTATTGGGAAAGTAATGATTCAAGCTGAACAGAATTACACAGGACTTATTGGAGGCATTGTGTCAGTACCAATTCTTCTCTTGTTACTGCTTGGACTTTTCCTGTGGAGAAAAAAAAGAAAGCAAATCAAAGGTAATGGTCATTATTTTACATACTACGCTTTCACTCCATAAAAAGAAGCTTACACAGTAAGAGGAAGTATGCAGGAGCCAAGAGTAGTGAGGAATGAATGTGGGCAAATCTGGATGTTGCCTTAGAGCTTGTTACAGTTTATTTATTATTATATTTACATCCTGCCTCTTTTCCTCTTGTGAGGAACTCACAGTAGCTTGTATAGTCCTCCTCCTTTCCATTTTTTGTTCACATGTCTCCCAGTGAGCTTTATGGCTGCATGAGGACTCGAGACTGGTTCTCCCAAGCCCCAGTCCAGTGCTGTAACCAATATACCACATTGTTCTCAATTGCTAAAAAAGGCTAGGAAGTTAAGTGGTAATGCACTACAGTAGTCTTGAGAGGGATTACAGGAATGAAGGAGAAAGCTAGCAACAACTGCGGAGATGTTTTGAGACTACTCCTGCCATAAGAGCAGCAAAGGTGAATTATTATTAATAGTTGTTGCTGTTTTTTAAAGATGGCATTCAGAGTTAACATTAAACAATGAAAAGCTTAGGCAGCATAGTCTTCACATGTCTTCTAGTTTAAACCAAAGAAGATTATAAAAGTAAGCAAATAGGTTTGGATTATGGAGACTTTTCTGCATGATAATTCCTTGAATGACTAAATATATAGTAGTCAGTCATCAGAACGCCGATCAACTCAGCTGTTGTCCTTCTGTAGCATGGCCATCTCTTCTCCAGCACTGCAGTGCTACATGTGCTGCCTACAAAGTTAACTTCACATCCAAGACTTGGAATACTGTGTTGTACTGTGGTCAAATATGCAGATTTGGCAATTAGTGAGTTTCTAATATCTGGCTGACACTAAGCTTAGCAAATATATTTATCTTCTGCCATATGGTGGGAGAGAAATAGTTTTTGCAGTATTATTCCTGCAGAACTCCCCAGCTTAGCACTGCTTTGGACAACTGAGATTTCTAAGACAATGCAGGTTTGTAAAGATTTGTTGTAAAATTCACTCTGCTACTACTCCAAGAGAAAAATAAACCTCTTAATTGTAATACTGGCACACTCTTGCTTTTCTCCATTGTAAGATTTAGGCAGAGAAATTGTCCGCTATGATGGAAGAGTGCACACTCCTCACTTGGACAGACTTGTGAGTGCAAGGAGTGTGAGCCCTACAACTGAAATGGTGTCAAGTGAATCTGTAGACTACAGATCAACTTTTCTAGAAGGTATTATTTTTCTGATTAGTAAATACCGAACAGTTGCCATATTTTAGCTGCCTGTTATTTCTACTTACCTTATGTATTTTACAATGTGAAATAGGCTGCAGCTCATTACCAGAACTGAAAATGCTGTAATAGATGTAGGGTTGACTCAGTGAGTTTCAAGGTTCTAGCACTGCTGATGAGGAGCCGGAACATATGTTATGACAGCTTTCCTTTTGCAGGCTTTCTGTGGTACAGCTGTATCACTTTAGAACCACTTACCTAATGGATTCCTGTCAGCACACAGGTTGACTCCATGGCATGCCACCTCTCCCAGCTCACATTCCTGGTGGCTGATGATGGCCAGAAGTTTGATGCACTAGATGGGGTGGCACCATTGGTGCAGTATGCATTTTTAAGTATTCCACTTGGTTGGGATTGGGGGAGATATTTGCCTTGGAGGTCAGAAAATAAATAAGTTCTTGTTCTCTTTCTCTTCCTCCATTTTTCTTTATATCTCTTCCCTTTTCCCATTTTCTGCTTTGACTGATCTCCAGTTATTGGCTTAGTGTAGCTTCCATCCATGTCCCACCAACTGCTTCTGCCTCTACTTTTCAGGTCCATCCTCTATGAACACCCTTTTCAACTAAACCTTTCCTGACCCATCCTAATTTCCACACTTCTATTTTTGCCCAGTTCATGTGCTCTTTCACTCTTGTAGGACTACAGAACCTTGCCTCCGAAACAAAGAGTTTATGGAAAGAGAGTTCGTATGGCCAGAGCCCTCCCACATGATTCATGGGGCTGCTAGTGGGCTAATGACCCTTATATGCTACTTGTAGGGTTACAAAGCAACTGCTGCAGCTTGTGAAATCACAGCAGCCCACTTGTAAGCTGCTGTAATAACAGAAACTGCAGCAGCTGGGTCAGCCTGCTAGTTCATGCAAGTGGGCTACTGTCATGCTTGCAAACAACACAAAGGAGTTCCAAGGACTACTTCCTATATGCCAGTTGTTTCCTGCCATTTGTTTTCTACAACATGTAAAAATCCAGCAACAACAAAAATCTGACGGTCCAGGAGTGTGCATTTCACTTACACATCTGAAAGTTACTGGGTGCGCATGTGAAGTGAGCATCAAAGATCATTAAATTAACAGTTCTCACCAGCTAAGAAGTATCTGCCCTAAACTGAGAATCTATGAGAGATTCAATAGTCAACAAGTGCTCTTGATACTACTGAAGCACCATTGCCTCTAACTGCATTCGTTCAGTGCACCACTCCAGTAGCAAAAGATGTGAACACCCTTCCTCTGAACCATGGCAATACTGGTCTACTTACTTATATAGCAGGGGTGAAACATGTGTCAGAGATCATGCTTTTATCAGAGCCTAGGTGGTTCAGCAACATATATCTCATACAGTATTTTCTGTTTACACAGTACAGTAATTGAAGTCAATTTACAACTAAAATTGAAACTGTTAAAAAACATTTCATAGCTGGAGAGCATGTGGTCAGCACCATTTGTATGTTTAATTCTTAGCTCTCAAGAATTCTGGTTTTGAGTACAGTAATCTTCATAAGATAATGCTGGAACTCTTACTTACCTGTGTTGTAGGAAACATTGCTGGTGTGGTGAAATATAAAATAATGAGCTGGTTCACAATTCACAACAACCCATGAATTATTAAGAACAAGGAGAAGCAGTTGCACATGCTGCTTCTGGGTCACTCATCACTTCCACTTTCAGTTAATATCCTACAATTATTCAGTACAAGATCTGGGTTGGAGGTCCTTCTCTGGGGGCCCTCTGTGAAGGAGATTAGGTGACTGGCTACCTGGAGAAGGACCTTCTCTGTGGTGGTGCCCCATTTTAAGGTTTAAATCGTTTTAATTAGGGCTTTATAGAAGATGATACTGTACTTTGCTTTATTTTATTGTAAGACCATCCTGAGACTCTCAATAATAGGACAGTATAGAAAAGCTTCAAATAAATAAAAATAGGTTGTTATCCTGATGTCCAAACCCAGACACTCTGGATTATTTAGAGGTTAAACAATCCAGTTAACCCATTGTTTGTCACTGGACAATATAATGGTCATTGGACAATATTGTCCTTGTACAATATTGTCATTGGACATTGCTATCTTACCACCAGCCCAATTTTTATTAAAGTGTTGAGGTGTTATGTGATTTGGTAACAGGGAGGCCCACTTTGCTGATGAACCAATAAAATTAAATGGGCCCAATCCAGGGAAAATTGAATGCTTTTAAACCATGTTAATTTAAATGAAAGAGATGTAGACATAATTTTCCAATTGTATTCCATAGGGCTTTAAAGTTTGGCAAAGGTTAGGGTTAGGTTCATACTGGAAATACATTGCACAGTTTCAAATGTCATGGATGTTTCATTAAGCCAGACCCATTTTTTACCAGTGCAAATAGTACATTGCTTCTGCAAAAGTATAGATTGGAACCAACCTTGTTCAAGGACATGAATCCAGCACCTTTGGATGCCTACCTAGGGCTTCTTCACTTGTGTTCACTTGTTTTTGGTATGCTCTTTTCTGCTCTTTCATTTGTGTGTCAGTTTGACGTGAATTCTATGTTCTAAAAATTGGAAATATTCTATGTTCTAAAAATAGTTTATATGATTAATAAAGATTAAGTCATTTAAAATGCAATGCAAAGTGAATTGTAGTTCAATGTATTTTAAAGGCTTGTGGGAAAATCTGTTATACTTAACTATATTAGCTTTTAAAATTTCAGGAAATGAATCACTCAAGTCATTTTCCTAGTTGAATATTTACCATTGGATAAATATAGTCATGGGCTCTTAAGTATTTGTCAGATTTCCAGTTGCCCACCAAATTATAATCTGACAATAAGACAAGGTCTGCTATTTCCTTGTTTTTGCTAAATGTGTCATTTCCCAGTTTGACACTCCCATAAGGATAACACAAGTACTGATAACTGGATATAATTTTAAGCTGGTTTGAAGTAGAGAGACTCTGGGAAATTCAGGTGAAACTTTACCATTCACTTCCTTCACAGTAAAAATTCAGATTGCTCCATGGCAATCTTGGTGAGCCTTAGGAAGATAATACTAGCTTTATATGGGTGTGGAGGGCAATTTGCCCTTTTAAAATACATATGTAAAAGTTCTGTGATAATTAAAAACAGTGTTATTTTCCAATAAATAAAGGAAAAAGTATATAGTGGTTTATTTGCACAGAGAAAAGTCCTGGCCTTCATATCCTTTGACCTAGAAGAACTTCCTGTTCAACTTTTATTATTAGACGCAGCATTCAGTACAGATTCCAGAATTCAGACTTGGCTCAAATTCCATTGTGATACCCAGATTAATCCCCTTGGAACAGAGAAGTTGGATCCCTCTTTTTTAAGCTTGAGGCTTGATTTTTTTTATTCTGCTGAGCTTTTAGCATGCTCTTCTTGATTTTAAGCTGATTCATTCTAAATATGTGCTTCCTTTTATTATATGATACTACTTCGAGTGTTTTGGGAATTGTTGCATTCCATTTATTCACTTGACATGTTTAATAATTTTGTAAGACGCATTTCAATTTCTTTAGAGAAGTAGAGTAGAAAATTTTACAGAATTCATGAAAGTAAACCTACTGTGATGGAATTCATTTTTGACACAATTGCTTTTATTTTTCTCCTAGATCAATTTCCAACTTTCTCTCAGAATGGATCATGTAGACCAGCCCAGTATCCTCACACAGACCTATCTCCCATTCTGTCTACTGGAGACTCTGATTTAGCCAGTCCATTGTTGCAGACCAATGTCCACATTGACATCAGTGCCCTAAATCCTGACTTGGTCAAAGAAGTGGAGCACGTGGTTATTGGTGCCGATAGCCTGATAGTACATTTTAGTGAAGTAATAGGAAGAGGTAGGAATTTAAATGTGTGTTCAAATCAACACTACCCTGCAGACATCCACCAGTCACTTTTATTATGTAATGGCACTAAGGATTGGCTGGAACATGCTGGGAGCTTTTGTCTGTCTAAACTTTTGTCTATCTAAACATTCATAGGATTGTGCCCTCAATGAGTTCCTTGTGTTAAAATGAAACAAAGCAATGGAGTCCCCCTTGTCTTCTTACATTATGCAAACTTGCACTACAGTATATTGCAGAGTTCCAACTTTTAGATCCAAAAACAAAATTAAATGATTATGTGTTTGGCTTTTATTGGGGAAAATTAGATTCAAATCCATACTAAGGTCCAATAAGTTAAATGAGAATTACCCCCAAGTGAACATGTATAGAATTGCAGCTGAAGTCCAGTGGGCATGATTTTTCTTAGATTTTTTTCACATTTGAGCATATCAATTTCATAAGGAATGTAGAATTTGCAATGTTTACTAGTTATATATCAGTATCTTGAATTATCCATGATATGCTTTCCTTGGCTCCTCATCCAAATGTTTCAGAGTGGCTTATATTGAATGCCCAGGCACCAGAACCATCATCTTTAGCATGTAAACCGCATTATGTGTCTTTAAGACCACCTTTTGAAAGTGATGGGCAATTCAGTAATGAAATCAGCTTGAGGACATTGGCACAGACTGAATGGATATCCACCATGTTGTATCTGATTAACCTTACTCCTTAAGAATAAAGGTGCTTACTCTGTCTCCAATTGCTTCTTTCCTTTTGCCTGGTTTAACAAATGAGCCTATAGGAAAACTGTTGAACTATTCCCATCATCTATATGTTCCAGTAAGGTTGAAACAGTTACACTGAAAGTAGTTTCAGTATTAGCTAGTATAAGAAGAGCCCAGCTTTATTAGCCTAAAGACCTATGTACTCCAGCCTTCCCCAATCTGGTGCCCTCAAAAATTTTGAACTACAACTTCCAAGGTGAAGCTGATGGGAGTTGAAATCCAACAGTTCTGAAGAGCACCAGATTGGGGAATGCTAATCTAGACAAATATACAGTTTCCCAGGGTGACCATCAAGATAGTCACAAGGCAACAATCTTCTTTCGTTGTTTGACATCAGTATCTAGTATTCAGAGATTTGGCTACTCTAGTTAAATAGCCATTGATAGCTCTGCTTCCATGTATTTGTCTACTCTCTTCTTAGAGCCATCTAAGCCAGTGTCCATCACTGCTTCTTGGAGCAGGGAATTCAGTAAGTTTTGTGTATTGTGCAAAGTGCTTTCTTTTGTCTGTCCTGAATTAAATCAACCACATATTGCTGGAAAAATAATGTCTACAGTGACATTCAAAACTATAATCTTTGTGGAGGGAAACAACCGAAGGCTAATCTTTCTTATTTTCCTTGCAGGACACTTTGGCTGTGTTTATCATGGAACTTTATTGGATACTGATGGCCGAAAAATTCATTGTGCTGTGAAGTCCCTGAATAGTGAGTTACATGGTTTTTGATCATGATCAATAATCAGTGTTAAAGTATACGTCTTATTTCATTGCGGAATTGCACTTTCACCTACTAACAGTATTAGTTGAATATGGGCTATTTTCACTCGGCTTCTTTGTATGTCTTGCTGAAAACTGTTCTAAGGATTTATTTGTCTCGCCATGTCCATGTGGAGGAATGCTCATCTCCTTTCCCTCTATCCCCAGTATATACAAGATTAAAGGAAAGAAAGAAAATGTAGAGGTATCATTTTACACACTGCTGGGCTGCTTTATGCTCACTTTTCATGAGTGAAACAGTTGGAAAACAGCAGGAACAAATTGGCACACAATAGTAATGACTCTCTTCTGGTGTTGCACATGTATTTATTGTTACTGGTCTAGGAAAAGGGAGGGGAGGTGTAAGAAAAAAGGAATTCTGGAACTACACATCTATGCTGTGGATGTGTTAAGTACATTCTGGTAACATTCATTTAGTTATACAGATTGGAGTCCAATACATCTGCAGTGCGTAGTCCCACTAGTTTGTGACTTTCCTTTATGGCTAGATGTGCTGGATATAACCTTGTGAGAGAACCATTGGCTAAATTTTAATACATGTGTCAGTACAGTTTTATTTTGATTGTGGTATAGGGGGGACTTTAAAGACTAACATTTGAAATGTTTCTCTACTTTTCAAATGTGTTAAAAATGTACTAGGAATGGGATACATGGGTATTTTATATTTGGTTTTGTTACTGCGTTTCTCAGGGATTACAGACTTGGATGAAGTTGCCCAGTTCCTAAAAGAAGGGATTATAATGAAGGATTTCACTCATCCTAATGTCTTATCATTACTTGGAATATGCTTACCCAATGAAGGGTCACCTTTGGTGGTGCTTCCTTACATGAAACATGGAGATCTTCGAAACTTTATTAGAAATGAGTCTCATGTGAGTATATTCTGAAGTCATTCAGTATTAACACAAATGGGCAACTGCTGCTCTTTCTAAACCATAAATTGATTGATCATTCTTCACTTATAAATGTTGTAAACTTCCATGAACAAAGGTCATAGAAGGTGTTTCTGCCAATGTTTTGGCTGACCATATGCATTCTTCACTAGTAAGCAAAGACTTGTTTTCACAAGCAGAAATGGTAAGATAATAGAGCCTATTAATAGAAAGGCAGAAACTAAAGCTTCATTCAGTCAATTTGATTATGTAACTTAGTATTCCATACTGTGTTGTTTTAACTTCACTATCTATATTTAATGTCACTATCTATATTTTACAGAACCCAACAGTAAAGGATTTGATTGGATTTGGCCTCCAAGTGGCAAAAGGGATGAAATACCTTGCAAGTAAAAAGTTTGTCCATAGAGATTTAGCAGCAAGAAATTGTATGTAAGTGTAGTCATGTACTCATATTGGTGTATAAAGCTTGAAGAAAGGACGTTCCACACCACACACCTTTACTTGCATTCTTGATCTTGTATTTCCTATCTTTTCTTGCTGCTGTTTCCATAATCGAAGTACCTTCCACTCTGGAGCCCATAGTGATGCTCTTAACATTCTTGGGCTGGCTTCCATTAATGTAATTCCCATGCCCAGAACTGCTGAGATCTCATACAGTGCAATCATATTCATATTTACTCAGAAGCAACTTCCATGGCATTAAGGTGGGCTTACTTCCAGGAAAGTATGCTCTTTGCAGAGTTCTTGCACTGAAATGTCTCTGCTTAAGAGAATAACCTTGATACATAAGAAAGCGTATCATTTGATTGCTCAAGAAAAAGTCCCAGGGCTCCCATCTTTGCTTTATTTCATTGTGCAATATAAGAAAGCACCTTTTGAAACAGTTTGCTTGTATAGAATGTTTACACTGTTTGCATAATCACTGAAGCCCACCGTGGACTGTTTAAGCCATCATGAGCCTTAGTGTATGCTAGGCGGTCTTTAAGTATTAGAGCCATGCATGTAATAACATGCCAGGAAACTATGGATTATGCAAGGACTGTATAACTTTTACATAACGCATAGTTCCTGGGTTTTCATGATAGAAGCTCAAATATTCAAAATGGTCACCAGCATACACTTCAGCCCATCGTGGATAAAATAAACTGCAGGGGCCTGTCACACATACTGATGGCTATTTTGAATATTCAGGTTGTGGCTTGTCATGGCTTAAATAATCCATAGAAGGCTGTTTGACTGTGTGAACTAGCCTGTTGTGAACTATTGCCTGTTGAAATAATTACAGATGAATTAACAGGTGAAACCAATGATGGCCTCTTCTTGCTATGATATTTGGCATTTACCTGTCAAAAATAATTTAAAAGGATTTCAAGAACTACTGTGAACAATTTTCCTGATTTGTTTCATTATTCTGTCACTTAAGCTTATTTACAAGCTATATGTCTTCACTGTAGTACCTAATTGAAATGGACACTTGGGAATTATTGGAAGAAAACAAACAAGATTTGTTTTGATACAAATCTTTCAGTACATAGTTCTGCCTTAGTTTTTCTCTGACCGTTGCTGTGCAGGAATTTTCATACCAAGCATTATGCAAAGAACCTTATTAGTGTCTGGGTGACCAGACAGTTTAGTTCACACAATGACTGATTGGTACAATAGTTGTCAGCATCATTATGCTGATTCATCACCTACATTATGAATTATTGAGCTTAGCAGCATTAATTAATAGAGTTTATTCTTTAGATATGTGGTGTCTGCTTGTCATTAGCATAAAAAGTGACAATGGGGGTGCAGACGTCTTGTGTCTGTAAGTATTAACTATATCAATAAAGTAGCTCCATATTAACTATTCAGATTGCAGTTATATTACCCCACTGGTTTATTACTCTTAAAAGTGTCTTATATTGGTAAGGTTCTAAGACATTAAAGATTGGTAGCAGGTCAGATGCCACTTACTTGCTCACCTGAAATACGTTACAGTGGTCCTTGGTTGTCATGTGGTGAGATGGCTGTATGATTGGTTTAACATACACCCAGCATCTAACCCAGCCCACACTTAGTGAACAGCATGTTGAATAGTGGATATTTCTTCTAATAGGAGCCCTACATACCTGTTAAGGACTAGTTCTGCTTATATAAAAAAGTGGATGAGTCAGGAAGTAAAACAATGCAGAGGAATTATTAGTATTGTCTCTACTACTTATTTAATTTGTGAGTTGCTCTATAGCTGAATTTTTTAGTGTTCATAATAAAATCAATCATAAAACACATTAAAAAGTGTTTTAAGAGCAGCAACAAAATGCATTGTTTAAAATATATAAATAGGCATCTAAAAACAGAAGACGATTTAAAAATGCAGAATCACACATATCAAAAATAAAGCAAGTAGCAGTTAAAAATACTTTTAAAACAAAACATCAGGGTAGAAGCTATTGTAGACTTCTATGGTGCAAGCCACACTGAAATGCACAGATGTTGCCCAGGTATATGGGTATGCCTGTTCTCAGCTATAGCATCCATACATTTCAGTTGTGTTTGCAGACTAGTTGTGTTAAATGTAGTTCCATTTATGGTAAACACAAAGTAAGAGAGAGTACTTAGGAGATTCTGGACAGTATACACTACGGCCATTCTGTAATAGCTCCTCTGGTCAGTTCCTTGAAATAAGCAGGACCCATCATTGTACAACAGAAATTCCTACAGTAAGCCTGGACATGAGCAGAAACACTTGTTTCTGGATTGGACAGGTCAGCAGAGCTGCTTTGCAACTACTGTCAAAAAATAGCATTTCCACTTGTTTCTTGGTACTCTCAGAGAACCCTATTTCTGTGCATCTTTCTTGTGAAACTGATCTGATAAGAACCTGCAGAGACACTACTGTTCAATATTTCCAAATACTGGATCACTGAAACTTATTTGGGTTTCTGCTCCTATGTTGATGCGTAGTTATTGTAATAGTTCTCCATTCTACTACTTGTTAAAATATGTAAGATGTCTTTTGGAAACTGATTCCAAGGGCATCATAAGAGATTGTAAAATGTGTCTTCTCAGGTCTGGAACATTATTTTTGTCATTCTTCTAGGCTGGATGAAAAATTCACTGTCAAGGTTGCTGATTTTGGCCTTGCTAGAGATGTCTATGATAAAGAGTACTACAGTGTACACAATAAAACTGGAGCCAAACTACCAGTAAAATGGATGGCACTGGAAAGTTTGCAAACTCAGAAGTTCACTACAAAGTCAGATGTGGTAATGTGCCTATAATTATTTATGTAGTTCTTGCTGACTCCACGTTTCAAGGCATTCCTGGAAATATTAAAGGGGAAAAGATATGGTAGATTAATGTAAAAAAAACCCCTTCTAATCCTAAATCAGAGCTAAGTCAGCTTGCAAATTATGACTGGTTTATTCCTATTTTGCTTTTATGTCCACATCTACAAACCACAGAATTTTGGCAGGAAAAGATGTTAAAATTTTAGATCATACCTTGACTGTGACTGTTCTCTACTGTAAACATGCCAGTCTGGAAAAAACGATGTGACAAACATGATCTCATCGGGCTGACTTTGAGCTTTGGTCAAATTAATCCAACCAGCTCCATTTTTTCCCTAAAGTTCAAAATGTCTTGTCTTTTCTACATGTCACATTATGTTCTTTTCTCGGTCTTTGTCAAGGATATGTGGGTTATGAGCAAGGGAAAAAAGCATATATTGGTGACAACTAATGTGGGAGTCACCAGTCCCTTTGGGCTGCTGAGCACATCTGAAATGTTTAGAGTGTTGTGGACATTCTCACAAAGTGGTTTTAAATGATTTTTTGACACATTTTTATACTACCAATAAAAGCTTTCCGGATAGTTCCCAGCAACTGAAACCAATTTAAAAACAAAAATGCTGCATAAAAATGTAAATGCTTGAAACTGCAGTCCAAAATAGAATTAAGAAGACCTGGCAGCAGTGCAAAGATATAAAATGCAATAAAGGTTTAAAAGAGACTGAAATGAAAATTCCTGGGAATATAAGAAGGTGCTGGAAAGAGTGCAGTGTTCAAAGTTCACTCCAGAGCCAGGGTGCCATAAGAGAAAAGGGCTTCTTTCTTGTAGCCACCCACCTGCCTTCCCTAGGGAGAATGATTGCCACAGAGGGCTTCCCCATTCACTGTCATGGTGGATATAAATATCTCTAGGGTTTGCGTAGGGCATTCCTGGAAATAAAGATGTCACTACAGGCTGATGCTTTGCAGCATGCCTGCCTCCCAATGAAATTGTTTTCACTTAATTAAAGGAAATCTTAAACATACACATGCATGGGGGAGGTTCAGGGAGCTAGGCAGAGGTCAAGGTGTTTGTAGGAATCCTGGAGCATACAGGCACCACGGAGGAGATAACAGCACTAGCATTGTATCTATCCTCACAGCAAAATACTTGCAATTGCTGTATATGCTTGAGAACTGTCACTTATCATAAATTTAGCCTAGCAGTTTTTCACACAATAGACAAACATACAGGGGATGCATTATTAGGGTAGTCTGGCAGTTACATAGTCCCTTGAGTATATGAAAAAGCCCTCAATGGATCTCTAAGAGTGTTGTATCAGCTATCAGTTAAGATTAATTTCTGGCAGTCCCTGCATCAAAGTGACTTGAAGGTTGCCTTAATTACAATGAAATTTACACATATCTAAATGCACAATCATATGCATGTGCTTAAACGGAAAACAGTCCTTCAACTCCTAGCATTTATCAGCTAGTCAAGTTGGCTGAGGGTATGCTAGGTGTTGTAGGACTTTTATGCATAGAATTTTCCCTCAGTGCATTGGACCAACATGTAAGGTTGTCCTCCTACATATACTAGGAGTAAGCCTGTCATGAGTACACTCCTATAGCTTGTTTGGATATGGTGTAATTTCCTGCACTTTCTCTGTGTTTGTAACACTGACACCAAGAATTTAGTTCCAATCCTATCAAGCTGTAAAGCTCCTTCCTTGGCCTGTGTGGTCCTGAGGATGAGACTCTGCTATTCAAACAGCCCATGACTTTGGGTTAACCATGAACAAAATAAAACGGCATTTGTACAAGAAGCATGTTGGTTTCAAGATGTTCAGGAGCTTATTTCCTTAGTAAGCAAAACAGTGCACAATAACCGCTGACTCTTTCCCGGCACACTCCCGCCTCACTCTCGGATGCTGCTTGCGCTTGGGAATGCTCTTCGGCCAGTCTCGATGCCATCTGTCTCAGTTCAGTCTCTCCCTTCTGCACTCAGGTTGCTGTCAGCTTCTATTCCTCACGGCCTTAGAGTACCTGACAGGATTAGGCTCTGACTCTTCCTAGTGGCTAAGCTGTCCTCCAAGTGTTCTTCTATTCCTTTCCTCCCGAATCCTGACTGCCTTCCACAGCTCTGTGCAGGGCTCGAAAGAGCAGGCTGCCTCTTCAGAGCCTCTCGACTGCTGCCAGACCGGCACTGCAGCTGCTACCTGCCCACAGGTGCATACCTGTCGTCTCCACTCTCCTCATGCACTTCCAAGCCCCGCCCACACGCTCCCAGTGACCAGCCAGTCACCTCACTCACCCATCCCCTCTTTTACCCCCCCCACCCTTCTGCAACTTACCAACATTTAAAGGAACATAGTTTCATAGCACTTTAAATAATTACAAAGCCATTCGCAGGACTTAACTTCCTAGCAAGCATGCATGGAACTGGGCTGTCATTCACTTTACCAGAAGTTGCAAGTACTTGCCTGTGTGTGGAATTGCAGTGGTGAGGCCACAATAGAGAAATCCTAAGGGGGAGGGCAAATACATGTGGTAGAGCACATGCAGTTATTAGCATCTCCATTGAAAAAAGTGATGGGAAGTCTTGTACCTCAGGAAAGCAGCTGCCAAAGTAAACAATGCTGGACTAGATGATAAAGAGTCTGACCTTGTATACTTACCAAAGCATTACTTCTATACTTAGTTTTGCTGCTGTAAACACCCTAAAACATTCTATTTGATATGGTTAACTCTTCCTATAAATATATTGAAGTCTGTGTTTCTTATGCACATATAAAAGGTGGGTCATTTGATTTCTCTGAACTTCATATTCACCATTGTTTGCAGCACAGCATTTAGCTGATGTGCTTTTTTTTTTTTAAGGAGCAGACTGTAGAACTAGTGTTAATCTGAAAAAGAAAGAAAGAGGTACACTTTGCAAATGGTTCCAGGCTCTGCAGTCTTATGATTCGGTTTTCCTTTGCTTTTGTTAGTGGTCCTTTGGAGTGTTGCTTTGGGAGCTGATGACAAGAGGGGCACCCCCCTACCCTGATGTCAACTCTTTTGATATCACTGTCTACTTGTTACAAGGAAGACGGCTTTTGCAACCCGAATATTGCCCAGATCCACTGTAAGAAAACAAATATTATACAAATATTAATACAAAATATTGTACAAACCTTGTCAGATATTGGTGATTTTGTTCTCTATATGAGAATTCATTTTTCTTTCTTTCCATTGCAGGTATGAAGTCATGCTCAAATGTTGGCATCCTAAACCTGAACTGCGGCCAGCATTTTCTGAGTTAGTTTCAGATATATCAACTATCTTCTCCACTTTCATTGGGGAGCATTATGTTCACGTGAATGCTACTTATGTCAACGTAAAGTGTGTTGCACCTTATCCATCTCTTCTGTCATCACAAGACAACATAGACAGGGACGCAGAAACATGACCAGGCATATTAACTATACTGTTAAAGAGGGAAGAGACCATAAATACTACTTTTTTCGCCAGCTGGTTTTTGTGAAAGCACTATGTGTGTATGTGTTGTACAAATTGCACTATTTTGAAGAGACAATTTCATGTTGCTGAAAGCTACAGGATTACATATTGTCCAGATAAAAGTTTTAACTGTGATGGGCGACTGTAATGTTACTGCCAATGTTACTGTTGCAACACTTAATCTATTGCCAGCTATCACTCATTTGAGAGTAATCCAGCTGCTGCTATAAATTACACTGTGTGCAACTGATGAATTCAGAGGTCATCAGTCATTTAGAGTGCCAGGCACTTAAGGAATGAGTTAACACTATTGGTCAGCAATCTTTTGTGTGTAAGGAACAAGCTAAATAATGACTATATCAGGATTTCACAGATTCATCTCATTTCTAGCCAAGGTTTGCTTTGCTTGCTATAAGGAATCGGGCTTCTTTGGAGGCAGACAGGTAGCCTCCAGGTGAATAAATGGGCACTTGCTACATTGTCCAAGGGACCACAACTGTTGAGTTTTCAAAATAGTTTGGAACACAGTTTGCATTTATGTGATGAAATAATTGCAACAGCTTTCGGGAACAAGCATTCCCTGTAAATAGTAGGCCAGCACAGCAAACAGTAGGTTGAACAAATTTGTGGGCAACCTTCCCTAATGGAGATTTTAAAACTGTATAGAAGCCAGAAGGAGAGCAGCTAGGTAGTAACTTTAGGTTTTAGCAACAGCAGCTCTGTGTGAATCAAAGAAGGAGTTTCAGTTACAGCAGAAGAGCAGTGAAGAATTCAAAAAAGGATGTTAGACAACCCTGAACTAAATGGTGTGCAGAACTGTGTAATTGCTGCTAAGCTGGGCATGTCACATCGAGGCAGAGAAGAAATTTTGATGCAATGCATAGCTGCTTGATGCTTTCAATTGGTTCTGTAGATTGTGACATGCCATATGTCTTCATGATGACCAAAATAAAGATTTTTAAAACAGAAAGTAACTTAAGGATTTTTTTTTTTGTTTTTGAAGCTGTGCTCTTAACTTTTGATTGAGCATCATATTTCAGTTCTGTTCCTGTGGAATTCTGTGCATTCTACTGTATAGACTGGTGTAGGATTAATCCCTAGGGGGTTTCGTTTTGGTGTAAACCCTTTCAAAGCATTCTATTTTTATATTGAAATGTTTATTTTTAATTTTATATATTATATATATAAAGTTTTGTTAGGGCATAAAATACTGCACTGTGAACACTTCAAAATTACTTGTATCAGCCTTTGATTCATAAGCTGTAAAGAGATTAAAAATCATATTCCATAATTATTGGCAATAGAAATAGCTGATTGCATGCTATCTCCATCCCAAGTGTTAAAATACCCATTGCTGGAATCAAAAACATTTTCAGCATCTTGGAGGAGGTGATGCCTATAAAGGATCCAATTATAAGGGAGATTTATTGTTCTTGAGAGAGAATGCTACACTGAAAGATTTATGATGAGCTTGGAGAGGGTAAGCAAACTACTTGCTGATAATTCTGGATTGTATTAAACTGCCACATCCATTTCAGCAGCAAATACTTCATGTGTGCTAAGAGCAATGTTAATTGTGAATTGCCTTAGCACAAAAAAATTCTGCTGCAAGCAAAAACAAGGAAAAACGCTCTTGAGAGTTAAGGAGAATTATGATGCCATGGTTTAGTGCAGTTATTCTAAACCTGTGTACACATGCAATAGGAATGTAGGGTTGGGTGGGGGATGAAACAATTATACTATTTATGAGAAGAAATTAATGTCGTGGCTGGGATACATGTAAATAATCTGTGATTCTTGTAGGGATTTGATGTTTGTATATTCATATACCTGCCAATAAGCTGGATGGTACTTACCTTTATAATTGTGATGACTTAGCAAACTTATTAAAATAAAGTAAGCATTTGTATGCTGGCTGTTTGTTTCAAATATGCATATATTTGTTTAAGAGTGGAACTGATCCTGCCAAGACTTGAATTCATTGTTATGTTTGTAGTATGTAAGACTCGGGAAGACAGGGGGATGCTAGATGATCGCCAGCCCCTGGACGAGGGAGATGGATGCTTTACACATGGAAACGAAGAAGAAAGGTGTAATTTAGGATGCAATCATAGCAACTTCCAAGCTGAAGGCTAATGCCCCATGCCATCCCACTTGTACCCTTCCTGAATAGAAGGAACCATGCCAGCTGCCCCTGCTCACATGGGGCAGAAAGGGGACGTGCCAGGAACAGGCTGGGAAGGAGGCTGGGGGCAAGGATTTACGCCAGTCCCTATCAGCATCCCAGCCACCTTCCTTCCCCCTCCCCAGTGCTTTATCTGGATTAGCCATGTTTCAAAGCAAAAAATATTGTGCCCTTGAGAGCATGAGACAATGAGCCAGTTAATTTATCTTCACTGCATGCTGGTTGTCATTCTAAATATGCAAGTCCTGACTGGATTCATGTTGGATGAAGCTAACTGGTAGGAGTTATGTCATGGCTAAACAACCCTCTCATAACCCATAGCCTGATGTACAATTAGGTATGGGTTCAAACAGCTCCTGCAGAGCAGGTTCACACAGTGATAATCCCTGGTTAGGAGTTGTGTATTCATAATGTATTCATAATGATGACTGGCAGGCATTTCAGTTCCTTGAAGCTAAATTACATGGGAACAAAGTGAAAACACTGTGGCCTCTAAATATTAGACTGAAATTTGCATTAGCTGCAATCAGCATAGCCCCTGGACAGAAATGATGAAAGTGGTACTATATCTAGAGGTCCACAGATTCCTCAGTCCTGATCTAGCGTACTACATGGCAAAGAAGAAACTAAAGCCAAAGACCTTCCTCTAGAAGAACTAGAACAGTCTATTGTACCAATACAAACATGAGATTTGTCATATAGTCCACTTACAATAACACAATGCAAACCATCGCATGAGTGTTTGTGGAACAGTAGTACTGCCTATTTTCTTCTCACCCACTGTGATTCAATTTATTGTGAAGCACTTTCTTATTTAGGACAAGTGTTCCACTGTGCCCTGAAGATGAAGAGTAGAAATGCACATGCCATTGATCTCCAGTTAATGGACAAATCTACATGGTGTCCTTAGGCACATATAATTGTATACTAATTTATTTCCATAGCATTACATCATACATAATCCCTCACAGATGCACACTTTTTTAAGTACTCACTCTGATTAGGTAACTGCATGTAAAACAGGATCCTGTTGACTATAGAAAGCAAAAACATTTTAAGAAAGCAAAGACATTTTGTGGCTCAAAAAACTCAAGTCACTGCTGTGCGACTACTTGTTACAATTTTAAGATGTCAAAGATCTCAAAAATCTTTTCTATTACTGTGTGCTAATTTAAGATAAGAAGATACATACCATGTTAATATTGACTGAATTGGATGTCCACTTAAGTAAACAGAAATGTACTGTGTACTTGGAAAATGATAAAATATTATTTCAATATGGTATTTCAGAACATTACTGATACAGCTGCTCAGATTTATCATATAGCTACACTAGAAAATGGGACTGCAGGTGGCGCAGTGGTTTAAACCACTGTGCTGCTGGGCTGATAGATCAAATGGTCGCCGGTTCGAATCTGCACAACAGGGTGAGTTCCCGTTGCTCCGTCCCAGCTCCTGCCGACCTTGCAGTTCAAAAGCATGCAAATGCAAGTAGATAAAAAGGTACCACTTTGGTGAGCAGGTAACAGCGTTCCATGCACTTCGGTGTTCAGTCATGCTGGCCACATGACCACAGAGACTGTCTGCGAACCAACGCTGGCTCCCTTGGCTAGGAAATGGAGATGAGCACTGCCCCCTAGAGTCAGGCATGACTGGACTTAATGTCAAGGGGAAACCTTTATCTTTACACTAGAAAATTTAAAGTCAGATTTATAGATTACTGGCTGTAATATTCCAAAGATTTTTAAGGGTGGGTACCTGAATATTACACAATTTTAAAAGATAATTTCCTCTGTTCAGTGTATTCAGGATAGACTTCCTCTGCTAGCAGTTTATGACCCTTTTGGCTTTGGTCTGGTACTATGACCCTATTAGCAACAATAGGACAATGATTTGTATAACATAATTTGCTGCACAGTAAGAATAATCACAGGTGATTGCTCCTACAATGTATAATAGGGTGGCATTCAGGTGATTGGTTTGATTCTTTGCAAATATGAGTGCTTGCCTTGATGTGTTATGTCTTGCATTTTCATGCATCTTGTAACAGATGCAGCTTTAGCCATTTCTGCCTGTCTCCCATAGGAAATGTTAAAGTTCTGATGCTCCCCCCCAAGAAAAGATGGACTGAACTATGTCTTTATATTCCACATAGTCATCTGATAGCAGAAGTGGGAGGGTGGAGGGGATAGTGGCATATGTCCCTGCTGCTTTTTTCCCATTGGCTTGTTGTCTGGAAAGATAACAGTTCTAGACACACATCCAAGAAGAAGAAGAAAACAGCAAAACAAAACCTTCATCCTAGACCAGAATTTCTTTTTGAGGCTTGTTCCTTAGATGGCCAAAAAATACACTTCATAAAAAGTTGACAACCAACTGGAAATCATCCAGTAACACAAAACACCAATGAAATTTAACACACCCACAAATGTCAGAAATGGGAACCCCCAGCCACAGATGTGGTATGGCTTGCAAGGAGTCCACATCTGTCCAGCCAGTGTCACCCTCTTTTTTCACTCCCTACTCACTAGATCCACCCCTTCTGCAAACCCAGTGCAAAAATGGTCTTTTAAAAACCCAAGAAAGATGATTTTCAAAGATGGTTGCTGCTAAGTAGGCCTAGCCTACTGCTTTCCAGCACTGCAACACCTCTCAAAAAGTTGTCCCTCTCTACACTCCATTTACATTTGGGGAAAAAAGCTTCCATTGGTGCCAGTGGAGGCCTTTTAAAATCATTGTTGTACCAATGGAAATTTTTTCAGGAGAAGCAGTGTGGGTGCACGTGCGCGTGCGAGGGGGGGTTGTGCAATCACATCACGGAACCATGTGACCCCATCCCCTTTGCATATGGCACTGCTCACTCTTGACATGGTGCTATCTGAACCGGACAGAAAAAGATTTCCCTCTGCTGAGTTATCTAGAGGCTTGGCTAAAACTGAGACCTTTGAAGAAAAATGGCGTTCTTCCATTACTCCTGTTGAATGGAGATCCTTCTCTTCTAATAGAGAATCTTCTTCATGCAATTCTGAATTTCTGTCATCCCATGTATGTGTCTCCTATGACTATTTCCACCTTTTCTATTTTCAAAGTAGTTGTTGCACATAATTAAACAAGAAGAAATAGGTAGGTTCAATGTGCTAGATGCTCATTAAATCCACTTTTAGATGTATTTATAAACCCTATTTATATCCCAACTATTTTCCTGCAAGACAGCTTACATGGTTCTCCTCCTCTCCAACTTATCCACACAACCACCTTGTGAGGTAGGTTAGGCTGAAAGTGAGTGAATGGGCCAAAGTCACCCAATGTGTTTCATAGCTAAGCGGGGATTAGACCTCAGATCTCCTGAACCCCATTACACTACTCTAACCACTACCCCACACATCTTCAAACTATTTCTTTTTACAAGTGTCATGAAAAATAAAAGTATATGTTACTGCTTTAGCACTTTCAACATACAGTGTGCTGTAAAAATAATCTCTCCAGGAACTTGGCAACAGCTGCATACCCTTCGGTTCACATTCAAGCAAGTATATGAACCTGGGTATTGCATATGCAAACTAAACACTCCTTGCACTATGAAATATATCATTTTTATATTAGTATTTTTGGACCAGTTCTCAAAAGTTTGTATTTGGGTACAAATAATCTGAACAAATGAGATAAGCATTAAATGAGATGGCATGTTGAATACTGCTTTTCTCAGCAAAATCTCAGAAACAATATGAAAGCAGAAAGATATCCACTTCTCTACATTTTACTGAAAAAGCTGGCAACTTAAATTTATACACATCATTCAGAAAATGCATGTTACTGTGTGGATGTATCAGTACAAATTGCCTGCGTCGCCTTCAATTCAGTTGTCAAAGACAGGTACATATCTCAGTGTGCATGTTTCTTGACAAAATGCACAGAAATAATGGCACAACAGTTCCCCAGTTGCTGCTTGTGAATATGATACTTACAAAGGAGTCAAGAAATGCATCTTTATACCAAAATGCAGGATGTCGGGTGGCTTAAGAATGATAGGAACTGGGGGAACGTGAACAAGTGCAAACCAGAAACTCAGAAATGTGTAACACAAACATGAGGTACTGCTTTGCAAGTTTTCCTTTAGTAAGAATGACATAATTCTAGGAAATGGATGCCATTACAGATCTGAAAAATAGGATTAGAGAAGCACAATTATGCCATTTTTAGCAAAGGAAAGCAATGTCTCTTTCACAACCCAACCATTAATGTCTGTTTGAACTGATTTTTAAAGTCTTAATGTATATGTCCATTAAAATGAATCCATTTGTTTATAAGATTGGAACTGGGCTTTCACATTACAAGGTCAGTCGGACGGTCAGTCAATAATGACATTTCTATAGTGTCCAATAGCCAAATTTTTCTGGGCACTTCACAAAGAATATTTACAACCCTACAAGTGCTGTTTGCTCTTCAGACGCCAGTCTCCTATACTATGTCAGCATAACACAGGAGACTGGCGTCTGAAGAGCAAACAACACCTGTTGCATTATACTAAATTTCCCTGAAGAGGGACCAGCATATTGTCCCAAACACATTGGAACTTCTTTCTCTCCTTGAATAAAACATCTTTTTTGTCCCCCGTTTTGCCTTTGGCTTTTTGCCATTCCTTGTGGGGTCCCTCCTTTTATCATCTACAACCTTAGCAACTATCAGTTACTCTTTTTTCCTCCTTCTCTCAACTAATGTATC